TTATTTTCTATAATATCAGTAAATATATTATAAGTGAAATTCTCATATAGAAAGATTCTGATAGTTACTTATACTCAGTTATATTCTATAGCTGAAAAATGATAAGTGCTGAATATAACTATGAAATCTATAATTAAGAAATATTAGTAATAATAGAGTTAATTAAGTATTAAAGTTATTTTATCAGAAGTAATTATTATAATATAGTTATATACAGTAATTATAATAATCTTCTACTCTTTCTTACAATCAAGATTCTTAGCTATTATTAAGTAAGATAAGCTTAACATCTAAGTAAGTTTAATATCAGTATAAAATATAAGAAAGGTCACAGTAACTCAGCAGATATACTCAGTTAATACTTAAACTATTAATTACACTCAGATAATCTTACAGAACTTATTAATATATTTTATAAATTTCTTAATAAATTCTGTAATCATCTCTGTAATATCTGTCTCAGTACTCTTATAGTAGTATAAATAGTAGAGCTAATCTCAGTTATCTCTACTCACACTCAGATATAGTTATACACTGAAGATTATATTATAGAGTCACTGCTACAGATGATTTATAATAATCTCTTTAAAAATCTTGAATTACTTATATCTTTAATAGATTATAATAATCTGAAAAATTAAGCTATAGAGAATAATCTACTTTTTTACAAAGATAGAATCTTTATTTTAAATTATATACTTACTTAAGTTTTTATTCTACAGAACTTTTATAACTCTCTTATTATAGAATACTTCAGATCTTATTAAATCTATATCTTAATAAATTATTAATTCTGATAATCTATTATACAGTGTGATATAAATAACTATATATATAATTATAAAGTATGTAGATGATTCAAGTCTATCACTTATTAAGTATATAAAGAGCTCATACTTATCTTCATTTCAGACATTAATTAATATACAATCACTTTCAACTTTATAGTAGATCTACTCAAGTTCATTTACTCAGTCATAGATATTATATTTAACACAGTTCTGATAATTATATATAAAAGATTTAAACACTCTTATTATATTCTTATTACAGCAGATCTTCTCTCAGAGATATTTATACAGTTATTTATTAATAATATTATCTATCTTTATAAAATATCAGTAGTCTTAATCTCAGACTATAATTATCTTTTCATCTCAGAATTCTGATACTCTTTTATTAATCTTCTTAATATTAATCATCATCTCTTTATTATTTATTATACATAGACTGATAATCAGATAGAAAGATAAAACTGTGAACTGAAAGTATATCTATATCTATACATTATCTACTTATAGAATAACTAAGTAGATCTTCTTATCTTAGCTGAATTTACTTAAAGTAATTCAGTATATTCTATTTATAATCTCACTTCATTCTTTATAAATCTAGAATATTATCTTATATCTCTTATTATATCTAACTTCTCTCTCTCAGAATCAGATAATACTGCTGTGAAACACTGTATAGTTCTGCCCCGGTGGCCGAATGGTTAATGCGGCCACCCGGTAGCACCTTGACGTGGGAAACCAAGGCGCGTGGGTTCGAAACCCGCAGGGGATGCATTAAATCCGGAACTCAAGCACCTCAGGTTTCTAATAAATACAGAGGTGTACAAATCGCTCCAATGAATTGCTCTATGTTCCTGGGCTAGGAAGTTATTATCGCATGTATCTAATTGTCACTTCTTTGTATTTTCCTATGTTCTTGTTATCTTGGTGTGGTCTCAACACCTGTATTTCCTCCTGTATAATCAACACTTGACCTGTATTTAACATCACGCAAGGACTCATCATAAGCTCCGCTTGCATATGAGTATAATGAAAGAATAATAATAATAATAATAATAATAATAATAATAATAATAATAATAATAATAATAACTGTATAGTTCTTATTAAAGATATTTAGTAAGAGATTTATAATTATCTTCTTCACTCTCAGAATCTCATATAGTATTATATCTATAACAAGCTCTGTGAGTTTCAGATAAATAATCTTGTTTTTCTTAATATAAAGAATATAAAAATATATCATCTTAACTGTAAACTAGATTACAAGTTTCTTGAATTCTTCACTATATATATCTGTATCAGTATATAGATATATTAACTCAATCTATCATCTTTCTATTATATATATAATATATTTTATATCTCACTTCTAGAATTATACTGCTTATTTATTCTTAATAATTAGTATATCTTTCTGAAGACTCTATATTCTGATCTGAATAATAATAATGATATTTAAGAGATACTTAATATCAAGCTTATCTGAGAGAACTGAATTAAATATCTAGTATATTAAGTGAGTCACAGTTCTTAATTTAATAAATAAATAAATTATAACTATCTCTCTAATACTCAGTTATATCTTGATATCTTCTATACTTACTATTCAATGAGATCTTAACAATTATCAGTAATAAACTCAGTATTAAATATCTTATAAACAGACTCTGTATATACTGATATACTTGATTCTTTTCAGATACAGTATTATAGTATTAACTGTTATTAGAAGAATAATCTATAATAAGTCTCTTCATTCTCAATAGAACAGAGTATATTTTACTAAAAAATAGAACAGAGTGTGTTCTGCTACAAGTTTCAAAAGTAGAATCAGAGACTCTCACTACTTTATATAAACTTTAGAACAGAGTGCATTTCACTAGAATCTCAGAATAGAATAGAATATATCTCACTAATTTCACTCTTTAAACTATTCTTTTTTTTTTTTATTACTACTATATACTCTAATTATTTAATTGTCTGTATGTCTCACTATCTATATTATATGTATAATATAATAACCTCGCCACTCTGAGAGAGAAGTGAGAGAGGTGAGGAGGCAGAGTGTAAGATCTAGAGCTTAGAGCATGCTTATATACACATCATGTGACTCACAGAAGCTGCAGTGTCTTATACTCATTCCCTGCTTCTCTACTATCTAGTTCTCTTCTTCAAGAATCAGTAATATTACATCCTAATATGAAGCTGCTGTCACCCCGATATCCATGTAACCAAGTCCTAACACCGAGAACCCGCATTTGCTGGAGATTTTGGAATGTTCCTCGGCGCTTCTTTCTGCGGTAGTCCTAGCCCTACATGTGACATGTGATGTCATGTGATGTGATGTCACCGCCGAACCTAACTATATTCCATGGATAAAGGAGGATAAAACGGGGACAAATAAAAGAGTAGTTATTCTTTCATATCAACTTCCGTGTCGATGGAACCACTGATGTCATATTCTGTCGACTTGCACTGAGAAATCAATCAATTTTCTCTTAAATAATAACCTTTGGCAATATAAACATTGAACTTGACCATGCAATAATAACCCCCCCCCACCCCCCCCAAAAAAAAAAAAAAAAAAAAAAAAAAAAAAAAACCGCTGCGTAACAATCGCTTTCTGAACCAAACCTCACCAGCTAGAACAAACCCCTTCCAAGCCGACGTCAACAACACCTCGCTCTGACCCATCCCTCAGCTGACTCCTGCCCACAGGCCTATACACCTTCACAACCCCCTCCACCATCTCCCTCAAGTTATACTCCCCCTCCGCCACCACCCTTCGAACCTTCGCGTTCTGGTCTGCCACTTCAACAACCTCCTCCCCTGCCCCTCCCCGCCCACTTCTCACCCCTACAACAACAGCCGTATGCCGTCCAACTCTCACATTCTCCCCCCCCCTCCCCAACCCCCCAAGCACCTCCACCACCCTCACCCTCCGAAAATGCCCATCCTCAATCTCCAGCACATCCCCCGACATCACCCCCGCTAGCCTTAGTATCCCCTCAACCGGTATCCCACCTCCGGCCTCCCACTCAAGCACACATGCCCCATGTCTCCGCCCAACACTCCGCATCGGCGCCTCGTACCCCGCCATCTCTGCCGCCCGCCCCGCACCCTTCAGCGCCTCCGCCGCTAGCGTCCAGCACTCGCCGTCCCCCACAGTCCTGCCCATGTGCTCCCGACAGTACGAGACGATGTGCGGTCCGTACCGGTGCGCGGCGAGTTGCAGTTGCACCTGTACCTGTATATCGCTTAACCTGCCACCTTCATCATCATCATCATCTTCTTCTTTTTTTTCTTCTTCTTCTACTTTCCCATGGGGAAGAACAACAACAAGCTTCTGCTCCCCCCGCACCGTCCCACGGATATCCGCCGAGTTCCACCGGACGCGCACCTTGGTTATCGTGCGCCGGTCGCCGACGTCCCATTGAACGGCGCCAATGAGCGTCCAGTCTTGGCTGCCGCGCGGGCACAGTGAATCGATGCACTCCCACTCGTAGTTCGTGCGCAGGATCGGGGTGGGGAGCTCGCGGAGGGCCGGGTAGGGGAATGTAGGCGGCGTAGTAGCGAACCAGTTCTCGTCGAGGTTGAGCGGGATGGTGAAGAGCTGGCTTTGCGGGGTTGGAGGGGGAGCGGGAGGGGGACTCCCCGGTGGTGGGGTTCTGGGAATGGGAGGGCCGCCGAGGCGGGTTGGGGGCTGACTGATCTGGATCATGTTGGGTGGGCTGGTTCTATGTTTTTAAATATCTGTGGTACCTGTATAAGGTGTGATGTGCAAGCAGATATTTTGAATATTTGCTCGAACCTGGAGTTGGCAAGAGAAGTGGGAGGAGCAAGAAACACTGCGGTGGGAGAGTTTTGGATATTTATATACGTACACCAGAGCCGATATTGAGAGACAATTAATGGGCAGGATGAGTGAAGAAGCACCGTGAATAAACAATTTATACAACGGCCGACAAAGAGCAGACAACAAATTTCAGAAATGCAAGATTCCTCCATCTCCCCGTGGTTTCCCATACCCACCACAGCTCATGATGAACCAAATCTCACAACAAACAGGGGGGAAAGTTATCAAAAGCAGATATGTTTAATGCATTATTTACCAATATTAGTGCTCGGGAGCTTTGTGCGGGTAGGTACAGGGTCATGCGGCTGACAGGCCATCATCATTAATATGAAACCATCTTAGCGGGTAATGATATTAAAAAAAAAAAAAAAGAAAAAAAAAAAAAACCATACCATTCACAAGAATAGTGATATGCAAAAAGAGTGGACAAAGAAAACACGTCAGCAAAATTGAATGATATGCCAAACACCTCTTCAACTCCTATCGCCTCGAGTTGCGCCAGAGAGAGCCAATGTCCCCTCCAAAGCATGAAATCCAAGAAAGCAACAAGAAAATAAAAGTCGAAACAAAAAAGCAAAAGGAGAGGCGCTAGTAGTTTAGGTTCGAGAAACGCCTTTATTATGTGATCAAACGCAGTTGGGCCATGCCTCGTATGGTTTAACGAGGTTTGGTTCCCAGTGGTAAGGGTGGAGGCGGGGTTACTTGGGGTGGTCCGTCAACAGGCAGAGCTTGCATGCTCGGCTTCTTTGGTGGGGGAGGAGGAGGAGGAGGTTTGCGATTATTCAAAGCTTCCAGATCAGGTCGGTTGAAAGCATTGGGCGGGTGAGGCGAATTATTGTAGGTGGCGTTCGCATGTGGTGGCGGAGGTTGTGAATCCGGATACGCGGGGGATTTCTGGTCTGCTATAAAACTGTTTATTCGCTTTGAAATACCATACTTTTGATCTATCTGGAGCAGCTTCTTCTTGCCCGAGTCTATCTGGTCACTGTGGCGCTCGCGGAAGTTCCTTGCTGTCGACGCCGCACTCCGCGCATCACTTGCAGATACCGATGTGGGGTCCCGGCTGAATGCGTGAGCAGTTCGTACTGCGTGTTGCTTCTGCTCCATGGTAGTTCCCTCAGCGGGTCCCGCTGCTGCAGGTGAAGTTGAACTTGTAGACGAGGTATTCATTCTAGAAAATAGGTTGTGCAGTTCGCTCTGGGGGCTGTATGGAGACGCGGCTCCCACCGACCTGGAAACTGTTTCCCGTTGACCAGAGTCTGTCTTGTTAATGCCGAGACTTGGGACAGAGACGCCAACATTACCCAGGCGACTAATGGCCCCTTGGTTTACTGGCGATACCAGTCTGTTCGAAGTAGAATCATACGCTGGAGGTGGAGAAGGAGATGGAGATGGATGTGCTGCACCTCGAGGAGGTAACCTAGGAGGCAAGGAAGGTTTTGGTTTAGGGGTTGGTTTTGATCGTAACTCGTCCGCCGATCCGGTTGAAGTGGTGAGCCGCTGAGCAGGAGGAGGGAGAAAATTATCCGTAGATAACCCAGTGGTGTTTGCTCTATATGGCACAGGAGGCGGGGCTTTCTTTGAGCGTTCTGCTTCCTCAGCCTGTCGTTCCCTCTGCTCTCGCTGCCGTAGTGGTTGGATTTCTGAAGCGCGAAGAGGCGCACCCAACCCTGACGTTGGGCTGGAGATCCCGCCACCCCCGCCGTACCTGTTTATGTGTTTGGGCGGGGGAGGGAAGGATGATGGGTCTTTCAGAGAAGCCAGCGGTCGAGCTGAATGTTCAGCACGTCCATCAGAATTACTCTTTCCCTTGCCTACCCATCCGGCCTAGATACATGAGAAAACGGTCAGCCATCACGGTCCCTCCGCTGGTGCGCGCTTGATGAACAGAGGATATCACATCGCGGAAAGCAAAGGCAGAAACAGAAGTAAACGTACGACTTGGTTGATGCCTTTGAAATCACCCCGCCAGCTCTCCTTATTACCATCTTTCCCTTTCGGATGCCACCCATCCTTGACTATTCCTCGTAGTCCGCTCATGTTGGCACGCCTAGGGTTCAACCAAGTAGTATTAATCCGGTGATTTAATAGAATAGCGAGCGTGGCGCGTTCAAATATTCCCAGCGATGGTCACTCATAGTTTCCTCTGCAAAAATGATCCAATGCTACCCAAGTGTCGCAAGCGTCCCGTCCTGGTTGTAAGATTTTGAATAGACGACGGACGTGCTGGATGGAAGGAGGCCAAAGACCGGCCAAGCCACATGACTTGCCTGATCTGGAAATTAAATCACGTGAGGCGGATGATACCTAGTATTTCCAGCCGGGGGAAGGAAACCAGAACGACCATAGCTAACTTATCCCCGTATATTTCTTCAAGGTGTAGGTTGTTCAAGCATTCTTCTGCTATTCTCAACACGCCAGAATTCCATTCTCCAATATTAAACTATAGCAAAAATATCGCCGTTGAAACAGCTCTGCCTTCTAGACAGAATTGAAAAAAGTTACCCCAAGAACGCCAATTACATCTATCCTCCCTTTTTATTTTTAGAAGCAAAACCCCAAGGGAAAGTAAATTTCATGAAAGCTAAACATTATCGTTGTTTTGTGATGTGCCCTCATAAAAATATCAATTACAGACGTAACTGCCAGGCGCTTGGTTTTCTCGTAATTTGTGAACCCAGTGTTACGCCTTAACTATTCGTCCCAGATCAATAATTACTCCATCTCAATCGTTCCAGGGGGTTTGCTCGTGACTGTGAATAGTAAGTAAGATGCCCAATCTTCATGAACAGCGGGGGTCGAGATGGGAAAACCAAGTAAAAACATAAACTTACTGTCGTAGACGACGCGGCACACTCCCTGCACTTCATTCACGATCCTCCTGCTGACCGTCTTTAAAAACTCCCCGTCAAACGGATACCAGTCTGCGGTCATGAAATCCGTGGTCTCCACAGCCCGAAGAGCAATGACTTGGTCATGGACTCGCTGGTCTCCCATTACGCCAACTGCCTTGACCGGCAAAAGGGCTGCAAATGCCTGGCTGATTTTCCGGTACAGCCCGGCTGCTTTGATCTCTTCAATGAAGATGTGGTCGGCCTCCCGGGCAATGCGGACTTGTTCCTGTTGAAGTTTATTAGTCAAAAGATCATCTCCCACCGACAGAATAGTATGAACAAGGACACGTACTGGGGTCACTTCTCCAAGGATCCGAATGGCGATGCCAGGACCGGGGAATGGATGGCGCCAGACAAGCTCCTCTGGAATGCCAAGCTGCTTGCCCAACTCACGGACTTCGTCCTTGAAAAGTTCGCGGAGGGGCTCGATGAGCTTCAAATGCATGCCTTCCAAAAGGCCACCGACATTGTGGTGAGTTTTGATGGTTGCGCTGGGCCCCTTGAACGAAATACTTTCAATGACATCGGGATATAGGGTACCCTGAAGAAGCCATTCGATCTCACCCTCATTGGGTGATCCCTGCGCGGCCGCCGCGATCTTCTTGGCCTCTTCTTGGAAGACTTCGATAAATGTGTTGCCGATGACCTTTCTCTTCTTCTCGGGATCATCCGTAATTCCCTTCAGCTTGCTAAGGAACCTCTCACTGGCATCAACCACAGTGAGATTGACGCCAAGGTGTTTGGTTAGAGTCTCCTTAACGATTGCGGCCTCGTTCAAACGAAGCACACCATTGTCGACGAGAACGGCATGGAATCGATTGCCAATTGCTTTTTGCATCAACTTTGCGGCAACTGTAGAATCGACACCTCCACTGACAGCTCCGATGACTTGGCCTTTCTCCCCGACCAATTTTCTAATGCGGTCGATTTCTTGGCTCACAAATTCGCCCATGGTCCAGTTTTGTGCCGCCTTCGCAATTCCAACGGCGAAGTTTCGAAGAATATCCTTTCCACAAGGTGTGTGCGTAAGCTCTGGATGGAATTGAATGCCGTAAAAGGGTTTTTCCGTGTGCGAGATTCCAGCAAAAGGCGCATTGGCCGTTGTGGCGATGGTGACGAAATTCTCAGGCAACTTAGATAGTTTGTCTCCATGCGACATCCATACCACGAGGTCTCCCTCAAGCCCCTCGAACAATTTATCAATATGCGCCGACTGGCTGGGATGACGTGCCACATTCAGGTTCGCATGTCCGTACTCCCGCTTGTCCCCGGCAGAGACGTTCTTGCCGTGGTTCCACGCGATCATTTGTAAACCGTAGCAGATGCCTAGGACGGGGACTCCTAGGTCGAATACAGCTGCAGGCAGGTAGGCCATGTCAGTTCGTGCTTTGTAGCAACAATTCCTCAACGACAGGGCCACAGGAAAGGGTTACCTGGATCCACATGTGGGGCGTCTGGTGCATAGACGGAGTATGGACTCCCCGACATAATAATACCCTTTGGCTTCCATGACAGATCGGCAATCCTCTGAGTACATGGGAGCATCTCAGAGTAGATGTTAAGCTCGCGAAGTCGCCTCGTTATAAGGTGCGAGTACTGCGAGCCAAAGTCGAGGACCCTGATGGGTTCAGGCGGTTAGCACATCGCTAGAACATTTGCGCACAGTGCGTGCATTGCAGAACTCACAAAATGGTGTCGAAAGCCATATGGGGCTCGGAGACTGGCCCGTCAGCTGGAGTAGCCATTGTAAATATATATACGGCGAGAATTGGGAGTGGTTTTGGCGGGATTGACTCCGAAGAAGAGAAAGGGAAGCAAATTTTTTGTGAAAGTTGGTGAGGGGCGGAAAAATTATATGAGGGGGAATGCTGACTCATGCGATAAGCCTAGGCGCCCTTATCATAGCGAAGCCAGGAGAGTGCTCAACACAAAGGAATACTGTACGTTCTAGAACAGTAGTATACGGAGTATTTCCCATCCATATGTAGATCAGATATATTCTTCGCCGATTAGAACTTCTCGTAGATTTAATAAATACACATTAAGGGAATACGTGCGCTGTTGTGGTGGATAAACAGAGAATTCCCTGCCAAAAGCTGCTACTTTGTCCGGACAAACATGAGAATGCAACACCAACACCAAATACCACGGAGAAAAATATAAAATTATAGCCCAATGAAAAACACACCCCAACGCCAAAAGCTACTGATAAGTGATATGAGCAAAATGGTATTTCACACAGGACCACCAGGTCGTCGTTGAGGTCAGGCACTGCCGTTCATAAAATCACGAAGCTTCCGTTTCCACTCCTCCAACTCCCGCGAACGATCAGTCCTCGACAGCTCTTCCAGCTGAACTTTGAGTCTGTTGTTCTCCTCCGCAAGCCGGGCATTGGCCTGCCGCTCCATGCACAACTGGTTCTGTAGGCATTTGACCTCGGGCATGTATTTTGCTGCAACCTCCTGCCGAGAGAGGACAACCCGTCCATTCGCAATATTCAATTCTTGTTCCAGTAAACTGACCCGCGCCTGCAGATCCCCCATTCGGGACTGAAGTTCCACCCCCATCTCAAGTTCGCGGTATATCGTCGAAAGCGCATCGTCGACTTCGTTAGAGACGGTTTGGTATCTTGAGCGTCGGGGGGCCGCTCCTCCTGATGCCGAAAGCGCGGAGCAATCCGAGCGCCGGTGGTCCGCAGCGTCTTGTACTGTGGCAGACTGGTAAGGGCCGTGTTGGTAGGGAGCATCTAGTCCACTTTCCTGAGACGTGCATAGGTTCTTCATGCATTCGTCTGCGCTTCTCGACGAAGATACAGCCGTGGTAGAGGTAGTGGTGGCAGACTCGCACGATACCGTGTACCTTTCGCAAGTTGCAGAATAACGGCTCGTGGCACTGGCTGCCGGGCATGAAGGCTTTGGGCTGAACTCGCTTTTCCTCGGTGAAGAGGCGGCGGATAATGGGATGATGTGTGTTGGGGGATTAGTATGCCAGTTTTTCTCAACACAGACCGGGCAATGGAATGGAGACGGCACGTCTGAGTCTCTCCGTGGCGGAACCAGACAAATGGCATGGCATGAACGCATGCATGTTTTGCACCCAAAGAGATTATTTTCCAGTTTGCAGACATAGCAAGTCTTCATGTTCGGGTCTCCCACTGATAAGTATATGTCAGCGCCAAATGCTAACTTTTAAAAGACGTCATGTCAAGGAGTAATAAATGCGCATAACCCGCAGGTACTAACTTCGCCAGTCGCGTGTCCCTAGAGTGTGCTCTGATACTAGCTTCGGGCGTCCATATTTGTCCTTGCCAACCCACATAAGAGTTAAATCAGACGCACTCTTCAAAGCATCGGATCCTTTGCCACGTCCGACGTTCTGTATCTCCGTCTGATCGCAAAACGGATGATTTCTTTGTCTCTTCGAGTCGGGTTGCGGGTTATCCTCATTCCCCCAGTCTCGTTTTCCAGTGCAATACTCTGACGCAGAAGACTCCATCGGTATATATGCAGATGGTGGCGGATTCGGGATGCATTGTGCGCAATTCCAGCATGCGTTGGCATCATTCTACCTGACGCCATATCCCATCCTCCGCCGTCGTATGCGCGCGCAGCATTTCGAGCGTCCGCCTGTCATGGATTAATAATGTAGCGCGCTTGATCTCAGCCATCCATCCGCCGTCCTTCTTAGTCTGTCCTTAACGTTACCTACGCAGCGTAGGTAGGTTAACGTGTAGTTAGTTAAGTTAGTCCCGCTGATTAGCTAACTAACTAACTAGTTAACGTTAGTTAATGTTGGGGGTCCCGGGAGTTGATCGGCCCTTCTACCAGCAGTGCGCTGGTGGTGACTGAGCTCTTTTGCCCCAGTAGCCTACAGTTAACCTAACTAACTAGCTTAACTGACTTACTAATCAACAAGTGGTCGTGGTCATGTGACAGCCGCTAGCCCTAGTTACTTTTTATCAACTTGAGGTTATTTCTTTCAGATAGACGTACCTCCTTCATAGCCTTTGCCCTTTTCTATTCATTTGTGTAACTACTGACAAATCTTCAAATTTGTTTGGCAATGGACGGGCAGACGGGGTGCTTGTATTGTGCTGGGTTTTCCCTGGTTCTTATCAATCTCCCTCAACTGCTTTGACTCGGTAACTGCCTCTGTCGTTATCCTGGCATCCCAGCATTGTATAGGATCTTGCCGGAGACTAAGTCTCTTCAGAGCCATATAGCCGCCAAAAAAGGATAAATTCTTTTTTGGCATAATGTATTTTCCTTAGGATTCCCGTTTGAGCCTCACTTTTTCCAAATTATGTACCGGAAGAATACTCTTCTTACATCAAGGCCTTACAATGTCAGAGCTTGCTGAAACACCAGTCAATACGTTAATAAAAGTGTAGTCAAGGCAGCCTTGACTACACTTGGTTTTACTCTGGTGGGTCAAGCCGGAACGCTATCGTTTCACCTTTTTTGTCCCTATATAAACCACGGCGGAGCGCCTTTATTGGTGGGGGTCTTGTTCTCTGACATCAAGCTTCCTCTTACCTGCTCCCAGCGAAATCTGTATACATATCCATATACATTTACGTGGCCCTCCAATATACCCTCCAGTAAAAGGTAACCAAAAAATGACAGCCCAAAAACGCAGGCGTTCATCAATCGAAAACCTAGAACGAGCCATGAAAAATATAAAATTATCTCCACTGACAACAGGGGACCATGAGATCCCAGCGGCCTACAACTCTAGAGTTGATGATTCCTCTGTTGAGATGCAAAAGGTGCAACGTCTTCCTAACCCAGGCGTCAGCCTTGAAACAGAAGCAGAAATGACAACAACCAATTGCAACCTTTCGGCCGCGGAGGAGTTGGAAAATAATAAAGGTGAAATGGAGGTTTCCGAGCCGACAACACCGTAGTTCGTGATCCTAGAAACTTGCAAAGCTGGAGTTGTTGTTAACCGAGGTGAAAACTACTCCATCGAGATCAAGGACGTGAAAGTTCCTGAGCCAGGTGCGTTGCCCTTTAGTGTAATGTACATGTATCAGGGAAAGGAAACCTGACTTATGCTTACCTGTCTATGTTTTAATCTTCGTAGGAGCGGACGAAGTCTTAGTCAAGATCAAATTGTTCCGTGTCTGCTCCGGCGATATCCATTGCCTGAAGGGGAGGGCTGCCTTGGTCCACAACGCTGACAATGGCGTGGAGTCGGCAGGACACGAAGGTGTCGGTGTGGTGGTAAAGATTGGGTCTCACTTGAAGGGTATCAAACTTGGAGCCCGGGTGGGAATCGGCCTCCTCTGGCGATATAACTACTGGGGTACAAATGATCGGAGTAAACGACGCGAATCTATTCTTCTAACTGGAATAGATGTGCCAGGTAGGTGTCTTCTATTCATTTTCACTTTAATTTTAACAAAGATACCCGGAGATTAACGTTTGTTCTGTATCCACAGGCACATTTCAGCAGTACATAACTCTCCCCGGGAGCTCCATAATCTGGATTCCAGATGGGGTGTCCGACGAAACTGCCGCAGTAAGTAACTCTGTCCTCGCTCGCATTCCACCATAACGTTTACCCATGAAGCTCTGGACTGAAATGATTTAAAGTGCTTAATGTGCTGCGGCGGTCCGATATACGAAGCCTTGCACAGGTCGGGCTACTCCAAAGGAGATTGGGCTTTAATCGCTACCGGCACTATCGCCCAAAAGATCCTGGCCGCCCAAATCGCGAATGCCAAGGGATTAAGACCTACTGTATTCGCTGACCATAGCCAGAAAGACTTGTGTCTCAAAATGGGGGTCAAGTACTTCGTGGCTAAGGGATCAGACCAGAACAACAAAATCTTGGAGCTAATTGGCGTTGACGACCAGTATAAGTCGTATTCCTTGCACGCACATGGCTCAAAGATGGACAATCATCTACGCGGTAAGCGTGGCGGCCCCGTGACTGTCCCAGCTCATCTTTGTAAGTGACCGTCGTTCAAATATGCAGTTTATTAGTGGCTGTTGCTAACAGTGAACCTGTCTGTTGAAGTCGATAACCCATATGGAGGCTCGGGGGTTTACCTCGCGACGCAACGTGATGACGACGAACCCCCTCCGTACATGTACAATATGATTTTGGCGACCATATACTATACAAACAAAGTCCTCAGGTTAGTAGCAAAGGTAAGGCCACTTCATCCTGCTTTTTCTCTTTTTATCCTTCCCAGTGTATCAACCAGACAGCTAGCTAACAATACCTCTTTTTTCAAACGCCATAATTTAGAAACTTGTGACCGCCGCGTACAAAAAGCGGCCTTTCGACGAACTACCAAAAGCCATTCGCGATGTGGAATCTCAGCAGGTGCAGGAGTGTGTACTCTTGGATTTTGATATGTGATTCCATTCACCCGCTTAACTAGATTCACGCGAGTCACTTTCAGGCGCTCCTACTTCCCCAGAGTTGATTTTTGGTTACCACGAAAGCCGCCAGGGGGTCCGTATTTCAGTGGCAGTTGAGATCATTTTGAAGTCAGCTCTATTATCTTGACGATATATGCCCTCGGGGATTTCCAGGTTTCAACAGATTCAAACATTTTGTCAAATTGCCTTTCTTTGATGTAAGATTCAAGAATAAGTTGCACAATATAATCTGCTTAATATCAACTTTGCAAATCCATAGGTTAGCTGCAAGCTATGTTAATCAAGTGGAATTCCGTTAATGAAGTGATGTTCTTTATCTCCTCCTTTGGTGTCTAGAACCAATTTTCACCTTTTTCATCGCTATTAAATGGAGCAGCGCATGTTAAATACCGAGTGAGTGCTCCTTAAACATCTTAAATCGAGCTATGAAATCGCTGCATATCGCCTTCAAGTCTACCTACATATACACGTTTAGGCATGAACTCGTGAACACATTAATCATTGGGGAAAAGCCGCATCCACAAGAAGCAAAGGCAGGGACATCAAAGAGAATCTGAATGAACAATATCCAGCAAATAAAATCCGAAACACCACCCCTCCTCCCAAAAAGCCCACAGTGAACCAACCAACAACCAACACCACACAACCAACTAGTTAACACTTATCCACCGGCTCTGGCAACTTCAGCTCATACTCACCGTCACCTTCCGCCACATCGGGTCCGGGATTCGGATACTTGAGCTCGAAATCCGTCTCGGGCGTCTGGCACCCGTTATCTAGATTCGCGAACAGGAAGCTCGGGCGTTCGTTAAAAGACACTGTTTCCGGTCCGGTTGCTGTGCTACTATTGTTGGCGCTGCTGTTGGCGGTAGAATTGCCAGATGCACAACCGCCGCCACATGTGCATACACATTCGCCTGCATCCCGACGGCTGTGCTCGTTACTATTCCCCCAGTCTGAACGCACCGTCGCAACAGCCGGCTGTTCCCCCGCCGCCCCGGTAATCTCCACAGCTGAACAAAGCATATTAAATTCCCGCTCCCGGTTAATCCATGTCCACGCGAACACCTGCACGCCAACAGGCGTATCCCCGGGAACTCTAAAGTCAAACGTCTGCTTCGTCGGGTCCGTCCCGCCATGCCGGTGCGGGCAATTGCCTTCCAAACTCTTCACTACTTTCCACGTCGCGCCCTTGTCGGTGCTGAATCCTACCTGGCATGAGCCGCCGTAGTGGTTCCCTGAGCCTGTGAGACTGAAGTTTTGCACGGATCCCGCTGGCCAGGATGCAACGGGCTGGCCTTGTGGGGTGTCCAAGTGATCGAGATAGCCCTTGCAGGGGAAGGGAGTGCTGCGGCCGCAGCAGTTATAGGGATAGTCGAGGTAGGGGTCCGGTGGAGTGGTTACGTGCGGGTTGTTGGCAGCCCCGAAGGGTGGTGGGTTATATAGTTGCATATGAGCCCGCACAAGAGTGGCTAGGCCGATGATGCGGAAGGTGATGATCGATGAGAGCATCCTCCCGCTCGATCTATTGTTTGACTTGGCTGTCTATGCCTTGAAGCTTGTTTTTGAGAGAAAATGCAAGGCAGTGAGTGGTAACAAAAAAGGGCTTTGTATGTATCGCGTTAGAGATGCGGTGTTATGGCTTTACTTCAGAGAGCTGAGGCTGCAGAAGGCTAACGTAGATGAGGTGTTTTGGAAAACGGATAAAGTATGAACATACAAAGAGGATCGATCTCTGAAGAACCTTGGAAAATGAAGACAGAAGTTTCAGTTTAATATTTCTTTTGTTTATTCACCAGAAGGCCAATAAACAATAGAGTCTCGACAAAGTGAATGAAACAGTTACCCCTGAAACTCCGGCCTGAATGTCAATAGAAGCAGCACCTTGAAACACGCGACATATATGCAGAAAAATACATTAACAATGTATGTATATATCTTAATATCATATGTAGTTTCATCAACACTTGCTCATTAGTGAATGTATAAATGATCAAATGTTAGATGTGGGGAAATAAATATCAGCAGCATTCTCAGCGCGCGCTGTCTATATATATATATATATAAACTAACATACCATCTACCTATCGATTTTCCATGCTTATCTTCCTCCGAAATCGGGCTTGTAGGTCTTGACGCCGCCATCTTTCATCAACTCGCGTAGAGCCATGGTCGCATACTGGCTAGATCCCAACTGTAATTTTATAATCACTGCCAATTTATCAGCAGCCTCTTTGTCTGCTGGTCCTGCAATCTCTTCGTGGCCATTCCTAGACTCCTTAAGCCGATCAAGATCCGTCTGTACAAACTGCTCATCATCCTTCGTATACGCCTTCACCTCGAACGAATACGCCTCACCAGGCTTGCTAAGCAGCTTCCGATACCCACCGCTCAAACTGATATCCTTCCAGCTCCTTCGCATATCGAAGGGGTCTAGCTTACCGCCCCGCTCACTACCCATGAACTGCTTGTAGAAGGCTGTCATCTCGTTGTCCGGATACAAGATGTCAAAGCCCGGCAGCGGCAAGACGATGTCGAAAATGGTATATCTCCCACTAGCAGCCTCTTCCGCAGTCAAGGCCCGCGCACGCTCGAACATCTCGTCGGCCGCGTTGGCACTATCGCCCGCGTCAGGTAGCACGACCACGTCACCATCTGCATCAAATTCTTCAACTACAGCAGCTGCACCCACCCCGTCTTTTTCTTTGAAGTCGTTGATGAGCACGAGGTCGCCGGCGACTACCTTATCGCCGTACAACCGCCAGCGATGGCTCGCCGCAAAATTCCACACAAGTGATTGGTATGCGTGAACGTACATAAGACGGAGGCCGCGCGGGATGGTTCCCAGCGCACCAAAATAGTCATTTTTATTACGGCCCAGGTGTCTGATGATATTAGACTCGGCGGAAAATTTGCGAGGGAGCTTATCAAGTGCTGGGTTGGATTTCCCGGTTGTCTGAAAGATGTGAATCCCCTCTGCGCGCGCGATGTCGTCGGCGCTGATGAGCGTTTTCGACCCCTGTGCATTGGCTTGTGTCTGGGACTGTGACGCTGCGAGGGCCTGTGGATTAAAATGTAATATGCACTCGCAGGCACCCTTGAAGTCACCCTGCAGCATCTTCAGTCCCACAGTATCAGTCCGGGTGGAGAAAGTCCCAAAACGCTGCAGGCCGTAGTAGTTGAAGTAACCCCGTTCCCGAAGGTCTCGAAGAGACTGGGATACAATCTTAGTAGCCTTTGAAACTGCATTGGGCAACCCCTCTTCTTTCAGGTCAAAGGGAAATTGACAGTCGCGAAGAGTGATTATAAATTCGTTCCCGTTCAAGTCGCCAAGTTCAAGGCGATTTGTGCGGTACTCGAAGTCACCAACGGCTGCGTTCCGCAGCGATTTGCCAACGTTCAGCAATCGGTCCGCATATATGCGATAGGCACTGGCACGCTGGACGGTTACCCCACGTCTATCCTTGGTCCCAGCAAATCCGAACTGCTTTGCATTCATTTTCATCTGACGAGCTAGAAACGTCACGACTTCCATGGTATCCTTGTTCTCCTTGTAGATAGTGAAATGCAAGTGCTCCCCGCCTAACTCGCTCCAACCCAATTTCCCCCGGAGGGGATCCCTTCCACCCCTACCGCCACGCGACTGGACACCCTTGCGCGATACGGGAATCGCAGTTATTACCATGGCGCCATCGTTGTCCGTAGTCGATTCTAGGCGAGAGGCGAATATGCGACGGATAGCTTGGTGTATTTTTGTACGGAGGTCCTTGTCTGTAATTACATCCGACTTTACACGGCCAATATCACTTGCTTTGGCCGTGGGTTGGGAGAGAGCGCGACTGTGTAAGAGAATGATTTGCTGAGCGGTTTCGGTGCCGAAATATTCTTCAAGGAGTTTCCTGTCCTCATCCGATAGCTAGAGAGTAGGAATGTTAAATATTTTGCGATAACAGGAACTTTAATTTGAATTTACATATCCTCACCTCAAATGTGGGTTTCTCCGGAGCAGTTGCCTCTGGAGCGCCTGTTCCCACAGTCTCTTTCTTGTCATCCTCTGTTCCTCTAGCAGCTTCTTTGTTCTGAGTGTTTTCAGATGCAGCGGTGGTGGGTTTTGGAGGCTCTGAACTAGCAGTGGCAGTTTTGAAAGACTGGGGCAGATCGAGATTTTCTAAGTGCAGAACCTTGCCTGATGGGAGAATTTCATTGACCAGGAAGTCAGTATACCTGCAAATTAACAAGACGAACCAATTAGCGCTCCTCATGTAAGAGTTGATTACAAGTTTTTGTTGCAGAGGGAATTCGAAATTGAAGGTATACCTTTTCTTCAATATGCCCGAAAAACCAGGGAGATGCGGGCTGACAAAATCGGTGATGCCGACCTCCGCCTCTTTCAGCGCCTGGACATCCTTACTGTCCAATGCGGCGGGAGACTGCAATGCAGAAACAGGGGCAATTGGAGAATTGGAATCCACATCGTTTGAGATTTTCACGCGTTTGCGGGGGAATTCTTCTTCGTCTGGGATTTCTCGACCCATGACTACGCGTGCGACTGCCGCAGATCGCAACCGCTGGCTGTTGTGGGAGAAGAAGGATTGAGAGCTGCGTGATAGAAGGAATATATACGGAATTCTCGTGCTAGTCTGTATAGTAGCTAAATGGAACCTCGATGAGGCCAAAATGCGGGGGAAGTTGTTCATCAACGAGGGGTTCAATAATGATGTTGAGTGACCGAATATATCTCTGATGCCAAGACATCCAAATTGCCGTTTTGAGAAATCTACTTCAAGATGTCTATTATATATACATACATAACTACATATATCTACATACTCTGTGTATATCTAGGTTTTACACAGCGGGGCACGCAATGTCGATATAATATCATCTGCTTCAAGGGCTATTCTCTTGTTCTTTTCTTTCTCCTTCTCCTCCTCCTTCTTCCGCTCCACCTCCGTCGCCCTTTCAAACCAGCTCTCCTCAGCGCTCAGTCCCCGCGGCTCCCATAGCATCATGGCCACCCATTCGCTTCCCATGAACTCCACCTTTCCCAGGTCGCGGAATCCTAGTTTCTTATATAGGCCTCTCCCCATGAGACTAGGCTCTAGCCCCACGGGTACATTCTCCGCCTTCCCGTGCTCAATCCCCCACTGCACCAGCATCTTCCCAACCCCCCTCCGTTGATAGCTGGGGTGAATTGCGAGAATGCCCACGTACCAAAGTTCCGGGAAAATGTCTGACGGGAAGTTGCCGGCCGTTACTGAAACGTAAGTCTGCATCCTGGAATTATCGATTGCTCTGTTTTGGTTGAAGATGTCGGCGTATCGTAGCTGTATGTTCAGCAGGCGTCTCTCTAACCCTGTGGATTGGCATGTTTAGAACAATGCCGTGGTGAGTGAGATGGAGCATATGCGCATGCATGTATATGGAAGAGTATTTACGAACACCACCCGCGACTTTCTTTTTCCTCCTTCCATCTCCTGGCAGCTGGAGAGTCACCGACGCGTTTCCAGGCGCAGTAGCCCACAACTTTCCCTCCTCGTCCACTGCCCTGGCAATGCGCCTGACCCTGTTCTGTCCCTATCTCATCTTCGGGGTCGGTGGCAGCCACATACAGGACCCATCCAGGCGACGAGAACCGTATCCCCGTTCGTAGCAGGAAATTAGCCCGGTATTCGGAATAGTACTTCACCCGGTTTGGAGCGAGATAGGCCCAGACTTCATCATGAAGCATCGCATCGGCCACAATTGTAGCGACATCCGGGATGTCCGCTGCTTCGAGTGGGCGTATATGCATTTCTTTGTTCGCTGCGCGGCCTGGAGGATTCGAACAGGTTGTTCATGTTCGTGATGGATTTGACTTCATGAGGAGCGCTCTGTAGATCATCCTTCAACGGCTGAGCTAGGCTAGAAGGATGAGTCCTCCGCCCTTTACTCGCAGGGTAAATAAAATACGAAGCGAACCCTTGGATCTGGGGTGCATTGCTAATGGACCAGCATCAGGCATCAGCGATTCTCATATGGGTTTTGCTGAAGAATCCCACCACACTCCTGTCGCGACACCATTTACTGTGGATAATGGATTTCTGAACATATATCTGGTCCCAAGACCGGTGATATAAGTCACACCTGCCCGTATCGTTACGGACGAAAGAAATGCTGGACCTCGGCAGGATTGGATTTCCCACGCTGTTGAGAAAGCCAGCGAACTACTTCGCGAGAAAGCTAAAAAAGCCACTTTCGTGACGGGTGCATCATCAATCAAGCGATTCAATTGTTCGGTTATTTCTATTTCCAACTCCACACATCAAACGAATCCGCCGGCCCGGGACCAATTGTCCCATTGACCGTTTCACGCGCCAAACCTCCGCCAAACCTTCTCTAAGAGCAGAAGGTCTATGCTGCGATTCACGAGAGTCTGTTGGTAACGCCACCAGCCACGGGCCTCTGCCGCTCATTATTCATATGACCTGACGTCTCCAAGTCTTCACCATGTTGTCAATAATGTCGAATCATGACGGGCGCCCGTCACGCTGACGCTTCGGCCCCACGCCCACCCTAACTCGCCAAACTTTTCTCCTTTCATGGTAGACACTCCGGAGCTGCCAAGCGGTTTGCCGAATGACACGCAACCCAAGAACTGGAAAAGCCTAGCGATGAAGATCATGCTGTTTAAGCTAATGAGAGGTTCTCTTTGCCGAAATCCGTTCCTTCAAGAATCAAAGCTCCAACTGGCTGCTAGCCGGCGGGCGGGTGGGTAGGGAGGTTGTTCGGCATTTCCTGAGCATCGACTGGACCCTCTAGTCCTAGTGTCAGCTTGAACCCTCATTCTGGTCAGACGTTCAACCACATGGCCGACAAGGCGTTTTCTACACGATTCCTTTTGGCTGTGTTCGTCTACGGACGTATCTCACTGGGCTCGTTGGATTCGGTCTGTCCAATCCTTCCGTTTCACATTTTGCTTCTAGCCAGCAAGGTGGGCGAGCCGTGCTTTGCTAGCTACAGCAATTGAAGCGGACTTTGCAAAATGGGGTAGTTAAATATAAAACTTCAAGAGAGCCGGTGCCTCTTGAATTCCTTTCTTGCTCAGTCAGGGAAATTGTTGATTTTAATTGCTGCTGGTTTTTTTCTTTCCAATAACTATCTCTGTCGAACATCGTTTAACGTAACTCGGAGATTTTGCTTTTGTTCTAGTTGCTCTCGCTCAGCGTTAAAGAATCTTCATAAAATTCTGCACCCTATTCAATTATACAGTTCACCACTTTGAAGCACCGCCTTATGACGAGTTCCCTGCGACAGGTAGTTTCTTCTAGAAAGCGCCTCACTCAGATTACTACCGCTCATACCATGGGCGCCGTGGATACTTCAACCAAGTCATCCAATGACTGGCCCAACCATCAGGGCGTATGTATTTTACTCTCAAACTCCCCGTCCCCGGTCCACTATCAAGGCTGAGCGTTTGTGGGAGTTAGTTAGTATTTGTGTCTATCACTAACTGAAAGTAGTTCAACTCTACATACGAAGAAAGAACCCCGGTTGAGCTCAAGGTCACTGGAGACATACCTGCATGGGCAGCGGGAGTTCTATACCGCACCGGCACAGGACGCAGTGAAATAGAAACGGACCAAAGGCAAACCTTTAAGGTAGCCCACTGGTTCGATGGACTGGCTGTGGTCCATAGATTCCAAATTCTGCCACCAGATGCAACGCATCCTTCGGTCCGCGTTTTCTATAACTCCAGAAGCTGCTGCGACGGATTGATCGAGAGGATTAGGAAGACCGGCAAAGGCAATGAGATGTCATTCGCCGCTAAATATGACCCCTGCACCAGCTATTTCCAGAAGGCTATGTCTCTGTTTCGACCTGCGCCGCCAAAGACACCTGGAGCAGATCAGCAATCCATGTCCATTACCCTATCGGTCAATTTCCCTGGCCTCAGCAGCAGCACGACTACACAGAAGACCTCTGGACATGCCTCTGGCATACACACATTAACCAACAAGACAGACGCCGCGGTCTTTCAAACCCTAGACCCTGAAACTCTAGAACCCATCGGCTTAGCCTCACAGCAAGTCCTTCACCCCGCCTTAAAAGGCCCCATATCCGCCGCCCACGCCAAGTCAGACCCGGCCACAGGCGATGTCTACAATTTCAACCTGGAACTGGGCAAGTGCCCAATCTATCGCATCTTCCACGTCTCAGCCGCCACGGGCAAAACCTCCGTCCTGGCAACTCTCACCAATGCACGCGCCGCGTACCTGCATTCCCTCTTCCTCACAGAACACTACGTTATTCTCTGCGTCTGGAACTCCTACTTTACCGCAGGTGGCCTGGCAATTCTCTGGCACAAGAACATTGTCGACGCCATTGCCGACTACGACCCCTCCAAGAAATCCACTTGGTATGTCATCGACCGCCGCCCTACCGATCAGGGTGGCAGGGGCCTCGTAGCTACCTATAAAAGCGACCCATTCTTCTGCTTCCACACGGTCAACGCGTACGAGGAGCCGTCGCCTGATGGCAGTGGGGACATCGACATCGTCGCAGACCTAACCACTTACAACAACCTCGATATAATCAAACGCTTCTACCTCTCAAACATCGTCTCCACTTCCCCCAACGCCGCCAAATACGCAGCAGGAATAGACCCGGCCTCCCGCGCCATCTACAAACGGTTCCGCCTCCCATCAGTCCCAGTGCCGTCACCATCCTCATCAACGCCTACGCCATCAAAAGCATCCAAACCCAAGCGCGCCATCCTAGACTTCAAAAACGAGGCTGCTAACACCCCCGAACTCCCCACCCTAAACCCACACTACGTCACGCGCCGTCATCGCTACGTCTACGGTGTCACGGACTCGGGCAAATCGAGCTTCCTCGACGGCCTTGTCAAGGTCGACACGGAGACCAAGCAAACCATCCATTGGAAAGAATGGGGCCAGAACCCGGGCGAGCCGATATTCGTGCAGAGACGGATAATTCCAAGACAGGAGGGCGAAAGCGGGAGTGAAAATGACAGTGAAGACGCGGTAGGGGAAGTGGAAAAGGAAGTGGATGCTGACGTGTTTGATGAGGATGACGGCGTGCTGTTGTCCGTCGTATTGGATGGGCTGAAGGGGAAGTCGTATTTGCTTGTTCTTGACGCGAAGAATTTGAAGGAGGTTGGCAGAGCGGAGGTTGCTGGGCCCATTGGGTTCGGGTTTCATGGCACGCATGTTTCGGCGATGAGCGGAGGGAGGGGGTTGGATTATTAGGAGTGATGGTTGCTTTTGCTACATATTTTCATCCCCTGCGAATTCCGCCTTTCTTTCAGAGGCCAAGCGGTTGAATTGGAGGGGCTTCTTTTCGAGTTTGTCTGAGCTTAGGGTTTCATCCCTTTTCTTATTTTTATTTTTTTTTTATTTTTTTTATATTTTTTTCCCGCAAATTGGTCACTCCTCTCCACTAACGATACATGTCACGTATTCCTATTTAATAATAACGTATGATACCAGGAATGCCTTTATCAGAGCTGAAGACTTTCAGTTCACTACTAACTAGGTTATCAACGATATATTCATTATGCTATGTAACTTAATATCAACACTCAAAGCGTGCTCTCTTGCCTCCTTTCATTTTCCATTCTGGAAATTTCGCTGTTAACTGAGTTATACGGGCGAGGCTGGATATTTTGCGGATGAGAGAATTTAGATATAGTATAGAGTGCTTATGAGACATCCTCTAATATTGGTCTTCTAGGGCTTTAAGATGCGGTCGTAGCTACCCAAGGGAGAATCGCTAAGTAGCGATTTTCGACCAGCTATCTATCTACTGCAAAATGTCCAATCACTTAACATGTATGAAAAATCTAACCAGTAGACCTGCACTTGTCGCCTCACAGTGGTGCAATTTACCCTACATCCAGGCTCCCAATTCTAGTTCTTGCTGATATACATTCCATCAAACCTTCTTGGTGCCCAAATTCAATAGAGGTGGCTGAATAGCAAGGCCGTAAGTAGACGCTGGTGCGAGGTCCCCATATCCTCAGCCAGTTACGGAGATTTCGGAGTGTTATGGTAAATATCCCGGGCATGGCGAACGAAGATTCAGACAGGTCAAGGCAATCTATGGTCATCACTCACCCGACCCTCCCTCCCGCCCTGGCCCTCGCCCTCGCCCTCGGTTTCTTCATCGCACCACTCTTCGAAGCAGCCTCCACCTCCACCTCCCGCTTCCCCTCCCAAAGCTCCCTAACCCTTCTCACAGCGCCCCACACCCTCTCCCGCGCCTCCTCCCTCTCCACCCCATCCCGCAACAACCTCTCATACTCCGTATGCACATGCCGAATATGCGCATCAACCGCCAAGCCAACCTTAACCTCCTCGCTGGCCACCTTCCCACTCCTCCCCACGCGCCGCGAGCCCTTCAGAAACGCGTGGCCCAGCACCGTCTCCAGCGTCTCGGCGGGCATGGCGGGGAATTGGGCGCGGAGCAGTGCGCGGGCTTTCGAGGTGTCGCGTGCGTCCTTTTGGGCGACGGCGCGGGCGCGAGCGGGGAGGGTGTTGGCGGCGGCTTTGGTTACGGTGTCGTGGATTTGAGAGGGGATGTAGAGGCCGAGGGTGCGCTGGGTTTTTGGGTTCTAGGATATAGTTTAGTGTCAGGGGCAAGAGTAGGGGTCTTTTTATTTTTATTTATTTTTATATTTATTTTTTCTTGACTTAGTAGGGGGGTGATACTTACATAGACTGTATACACGGTCTGTTTTGCCTCGTGGGAGAGGCTGCGGCAGTTGCGTGTGATGTAGACGTCTCCCTTCGGGACAAAGACGTAGTCAGGCGGGGGCCCTTCAGATTCTGTGCGGATCTGGATATCAATGGGGATCATCAATCAGAAATATCAGATCAGCATTCGAGGTCCTCTCACTACATTTGTCATCAGGTTCACGTACAGCTTCCAACGACGAATCCCCAAGCTTTTCTTTGGCAGCATTCTGCTTCTCTAGCGCTCTGCGCAGCTCCCGGGGTAGACGGGTCCCAGTTCCTCCTCCAGCTAAGTCAGAATTGGAGACGCGCTGTTTCTTTCTAGCCAGTTTCGATGCGGCGGTACTGTTTCCAGGGTTTCGTCTCTGGGGTCGTGATGAAGGACGTTTCCTCTTACCCCGCGTCGTCTCTGAGGCCATGATGGGGAGTTTGTTTTGTGAATGTAATGTCCTGTGCTTGTGTTTCGGCGTCCACCATAGCAGAGGCAAGTGTGGTTATCGGATGGAAAGGGTAGAATACTGGGCCATTGGCTGCTAGATTTGTACGTATCATGGCATTTTTGGCGAAGGATGTGAATGTGTAAGACATTCGCACACCAAGTCTATTTCATTCTTCGTACTTCGCTGGCTCTGTGTTGTTGTCCTATCTGCCAATCAGTAACTAATAATAATCTGTCGTGAAGATGCGAAATGGCATCTCAAGGCTGGCGCTTATGTTCACTAAATTTAGGCGGGCGGCTAGTTAAGCCAAACGCCGCCAAGAACTTAAACCGTCATTGAGTCTATCTTTATTTTATTTTGCAAAATGGACTCTGAAGATCTTAATTCGATATATTTTCAGTCTTTTGATCTTCTTCTTGTATCATTTTTACTTTCCTTCCTTATTAGTTTTCTAAATTAACCCAACATCCAAATCCCCGAGAGGATCTCTCCCCGCAGTGGAGTTTGAGATTCATCTCATCTACCAAAAGCCAAAAAAAAAAAGGGGAGGGATACGTTATCGTTCCTTAATACGTGCAGGGAAATGAGCTTCACAGCCTTTCTTGGGAATGTCCATTTCATAACCTTAGTAGACTATATGGTTTTCTCACTGAAAACGGTCTTGGGATTTTTTGGGTAATCGGAGATGAGAGCTTATAGCTGAGGTTCAAGGGCTTGAAGGTTTTGAGTTGGCCAAGCAAATAAATGTATTGCACACCACGCACTGTAAATTTTAATTTTTTTTTACCTTTTTCAGACTCATCTTATTCGGTGGATACATGACCTTGGAAGTGCTTTTATCCCTTTTTATCCCTTTATCTTAACTTAAATCGTTCCAAGTAACTCTGGATGTAAGCTTGCATGAGGAAGTTGCACAACACAACACACCACACCACCACTGTTCAAACTTCCAATGTTCTTATTTTTTTTTTTTTTTTTTTTTTTTTTTTCCTACGTAAATTCTGTTTTTCGGGGGCACTGAAAAGGGATTTCACTCACCACCAATAATGAAGAACATGAGATTTTATTTCGTCAAGATACGATACTACTAATCATCAGAATTGTAGATCAGGAATTGTTTTGCTTTTTCCTGATCGGGAACCAATGACCAAAGTAGCCTAGTTGCAGTGTGTGTGTGTGTGCAGTAGTTATGAATGCTGACATATGATTGGTGTCGATCACTTTGGCCTGTGTGCTAGCGGCCACGTAGCTTCATTTGGTAAGCATGACACAAAGGTCAGTCAGATAACTAAGTTAACTACTGTAACTAACTATATTGTTTATTTCTGGATGGATGAATGTATGTATGTCTGTATGTATGTGTTCTCTGTTCTCTGTATTCTTGCGGGTGGAAAGAGGGAAAGGGGGAAAGGGGGGAAGGGTGAAGGGCGAAGGGGGGGGAAACTACTACAAACCACTTCTCTCTTGTCTCTTCTCTCCGGGTCGATCAATGAGAGAGAAGACCTGATCTGATCCCCGGGTTCGATTTAGTCCCTCGCCCCTCTTACCCTATATATTGTACTGATGATATAACTACTGGTTGGTAGTCTTGTTCCTCTATCCAGCTCCCTCTAAGGCCGATGGAAGGAGTATAATGTGGCAAGCTTCGGCGAGGTACGAGGGGGGTTAACTAATAACTATGATTAATAAACCAAACAAAGATAAGTTAACTAGCTAGCGGGTAACTAGTTGAGTTGTGTCTTGGCTGCTGTATATACAGTATTCTGACTGAAAATAACAGAACTACTGCGTATACAGCTGGAGTTAGCTTGGATGTAAGGGAAAAAATAGAGCTTTGAAGATTGCCACCTACCTATAGTTATCTATTCACCCATGAACAGAAAATCTCGGTTTCTTCGAAACGAACTCAGACATCCCGTGCCTAGTTACGGCTGGTTGACTAAGTCACTCCTGGTGGCAGAGCCTGGGCTGGGCCACCTCTGCACTTGCAACGTCCAATTTATCCCCGGGGCTCGAACGCAGCGAGAGAAAGGGCTGAGATGCTCCAAGGCTCCAGGATCCAAGATCCCAGCCCATAATGGCAAGTCCTTTGCCCGTCTTCATGGCATTTGCGGCGGGGGTATACAAGGGGGCGGGGGATACATGGTGTACACTGCGTACATCTGCGTACATCATACAGGGGATTGCTTCTTTTCTTTCTTTTCTTTCTTTCTTTTTTTCTTTCTTTCTTTCTTTTTTCTTTTTTTTTTCTTTTTTCTTTTTTCTTTTTTCTTTTTTTGGCTTTTGGTAGATAAGATCGGGGTCGGGTGTTTTTGTTTCAGCCTCAGGAACAGACCGGAAGCGAAATCAGAGAGATAGCTCTTCTTCTTTATATACATGACATATATATATATATATATATACATAATATAGTCTTATATCGCGGGTATTCTCAGGCTGATAAATCCTCCCAATCCATCTTCTTTAACCCCCCTCCCCTTCCCCCCTTCCCCCTTTCTCTTCTTCTTTTATTTGATCTTCCTGTGCATAACTGATGGCGGTGCCTGCAGACAGCAGACAGAGACTGCAGCCTGTGGCGTCTTCCGTGTTCCCTGTTTTTCCAGGGTCTTTTTATTTTTTCATTTATAATTACAATTCCCACCCCGGATTATATGATTACATTCCCACATCCTGTTTCCCCCTCGGGTTTTTTGGTAGCTAACTAACTAATAAACTAAATAGTTTATGTCTAACTGGTTCTCCGTGGTTAACTAGTTAATGCTTAACATGAGCGTGCTAATTAGTAAGTAAGATCCAAAGGATTTTCAAGATTTGATCCTGTCGAATACTCATCTCATGTAGAAGATCCATGATTAACCACTGTGAAGCATCGCAATAATAATAATAATCATAATAATAATATAAGCCAGTCAATGTTAGTTGTAGGTAGGTAGAGAGAATTGGGTTGGAGTTTAATAAATAACTCTAACATTATTCTTAATAACTAAGTTAATCCGGTCATAATTTTCCCTCGGTTTTTTTTCTCCCTCTGTCCGTCCCGCGATGGTCCGAATAGGAAATATCCAAATAATAAAGAAAAGGTTAAAAATATATTATAAGTAAAAAAGTAAAAAAATGCAGAAGAAGAAATAGAATGGGATTATATTATATTAGATTATATTTTTATTATATTTTATTTTATTATTTCATTTTATTTTATTCTTTTAAGCATGATTTACATCTGGAGAAACACCAAAAGAAAAAGGAAAAATACTGTAACTACTGTAGTACATACATTGGTCAATCAGATAGATGCATTGTTACCTACCCTCTGTTATAGTTATATTAAAACTAGAGTTAAACAGAGTTAAATGTATCCATCCAGCCTTTTCCTGTTCCTGTTCCTTTTCCTGTTCCGGTTCCGGTTCCTGTTCCAGTTCTGCTGCTGTTCTGGTTCTGTTCCTGAGTGAGTTGTGTGGTCTTTTTTCCTCTTTCCTATATTTAAATATTAACTTAACTAAGTTAACTATTTATTAGTTATTTATTATAGTTAACGTTAATAAGTTTAAATACAGCAAACCTCTTTTCATCCAACTTCATTTCTCAACCTCAACCTCAACTTCAACTTCAACTTCACTCTTTCTCTTCTCCCAACCAACTCCACCACTCCACTCCCACCAACTGTCGAGAATAACTTCCTCTGCTCTGCTGCCTTGTTCAATTCCATGAGGGGACGCGCTCTGATCTCTCCTACCCTACCTACATTTCTCTCTTTCATCTCTGCGCCACCTCTCCTCCGCTCCGTACAGCATCCTCTCTCCCGCCTCTGCTTATTTAGCTCCCCGTTCTGGGCCCTGCTGCCTGCTCGAAAAACCTCCGATTCTGCTTCACCACTAGAGAGCTCCTTGCTTTGCTCTTATTTAGCTTATTTAGACCGCTTCAACTCCATCCCACGCCTAGCTGAAAACAAACATCTTTCCCTTCCCCCGTCTCTGCCCAGTTTCGACCCGGGGTTTATAACCTCTACGACATTCCCCTCGAAACATAAATCATAAATATTTCCATATATAATCCCGTTGATTTAAAATCCCTCCTCCTCCCACCCACCCCACACCCGACAGCTGCATCCAGATCTTCAACAGACTCACTCGCTCACACCGCTTTGGGGGGAATCTTTGCTGGCTGGGTGGCTCGTCAACTCCCATGTTTGCTCCTACAAACATTCCGCTGATATGAGCTGGGACCGCCCGATCCATAGGTTAGTCTCGTCTCTTTTTCTTTTTCTTTTTCGTTCTTTTTCTTTTTCGTTCTTTCTGTTCTATTTTGGCAGCCATTGAATGGCCGGATAAATAAATAAATAAAAAAAAAAAAAATGTTGGCTTGCTCGCTGCTTTACCGCTCGCCAATTGTCCGCCCAATAAGGCTTGCAAGACTACTCCACTCTGTACCTAGCTAATAATAATATATCTTGTAACCTTAAAAATTGCAATTTATGCTGACACTTGCTTGGGCACCTGTACATGTACACGGACGACAGTTTCAACTACTCCAATGGCGACCCTCAGACCCCAAAAAGAACCCCGACGTCTGCTGCCTTTGGCGAGTCGGCCTTCCAAACCCCAAAGCTAGAATCCAGCTTCTACGACCCTCGAGTCACCTGGAACACCGCAGATCCTTATGCTTCCAGCCCTGAATTTCTCAAAACCCCCCAGCGACTTGGACTGTCCACCCCCTCCAATCACAACTATCTTCATGGCTTAGCTGATCGGGATTCAACCCTCCTCGACCCCTCGGCCTCGTTTGCTCTGAACCTCTCCCCGCAACTGGAACGGACTTCTCTTTCTGGAACTGTTAGAGGTAGTAAAACGCACGGGTGTACGAAACAGGGCAGCAGCTGCAGATCTGGGAAGAAAGCAGCGGAAGATCAAGGAAATGATGGTGATCAGGACACAATTGACTCCGCAAAACGCTCAGCAGCCTCGATGCAAACCCCTCCCCCGACGAGCACAGGCAGGAGAAAGATGCAGGACAGAAACAACATCAACCCCGGGAATACACATCCAGAGCTGAGGGCCAATGCTAATAATGATAATACAATGGGTCCTCCTGATTCTAGTCACCTGGAGACTCCAAGCCGCGTCGTTGGAATCTCTGCTAATTTGTTTGACGGCCAATCTCCGAACCTATTCCAGATGGCTGCAGGCTCTTCTGCAGACTCACCTTTCTTTCCGCAAAACAGGCTCTTATGGGACCAGGACACGCAGTTTCCGGCTGACTCGCTAGATATATCGGACAATTTTGGAGACCCATTTGGACCGAACCAAACAACGAACAACTTTAATGATACCTTTGATCAGGGCCAATTGCAAAGTGATTCTCTCCAGGTTCCTCAATTCCATACCATGCAAGCACCGTCCGGGTTAGGACATTTCAGCGATCCTCACGCTTTTCATACACACTCAATGGAGCATATAGACTCTAACCTTTATCCTACCTCTTTCTCGACATCCCCCCGTCTCCCCACTGTACGAGATGAGGACCCCGCCATGTTCTTGAGCTCTCCTGCACGGAGATTTGGGTTTTCAGAGCCGACATTACCGCAAGATATGCAGCCCCGACTTGAAACTCGCCAACCCTATCATCATCAGACCGAAGAGTCCAAGCGCGAGAAAAGACTAAAAGAATTGAAACGTGCTAAGAGTCTAGCTCGCCGTAAAGCCGAAGCCCCTGATGAAGCTGCGGATGCCCTACGTCAGTCACGATCTTCGCAACTACTTTCTAGGCGGAACTCAAGTCATTCTACCCAGCCGCATAGCCGTCATGCAAGCGCACATTCGTCCTCTGGCCCTGGCGCTTCTGGTAGTGGTGTAAGAAAGACCCCTGCCAAAGGGCGTCTGTCACCGTTGAAAACACAGACGCCCTCCTTTCATTGTCCGAGTTCGTCGGCTGCCTTACACGCCCCTGTTGAGTCAGTGGTTTTAAAAATCGGGAAAGATGGACGAGCTAAAACTGAAATGGCAGTAGTACCTGAGCCGCCAACGTCCTTTAATGCTCGCCGGCCAGGGATGGATGTGGATGAGTTGTCCACCGAGAGTGAGACTGAGTCCTCAGATGAATCCGATTTTCCAGTTTCTCACAGTACGAACCCTTCTTTTAATATACACCCTGAATCAACTCCACGGCAGCGCGACGTTTTGCGTGCCCATTCCACCTCGCGCCCACAATCTAAGAGCTCTTCCTATTCATCAACCATTGCATCTCCACACTCAGGACGACATTCTCCGTGGACAAGTTCTTCCCGTGGAAGTGGGAGGCTACCGCAATATCCCACCCAGAAAGACGGCTGGATGTCGGACGACGATACAGGCGACGCACAACATGCACTGAAGCAAGTGTTGAAGGGACGGAATAGACAACAGGCTAGGCAGCCCGCACCCCTCTATAACCAAAAGACACGCTCCTCGCATGCTCTGAGAACATTACGATCATCCCCGCCAGAGTTCCGTAGTCAATTCGATTCCCGCCGCAGAGAGATCAGCTCGCCGACCACAATGACGGATCCTGATTTTGCAACGCCTACCACCGAGCGCCAAAGCAATCCTAGCAATGGGACTAGATGTGTTTGTAACTCGATGGATAATGGCGGGCATCTGATGATTCAGTGGTATGTTTACTGTCTTCCTCCATATAATACTTCCTCCTTTTTTTTTTTTTTTTTTTTTTTTTTTTTTTTTTTTTTTTTTTTAAACTAACCTCCTCACCAGCGAATCCTGCACCCATTGGCTCCATACCAAATGCGTCGGCTTGGACCGCCAGAGTCTTCCGCCTGTCTACATATGTATATATTGCACACAGACGCCGATGCGAGGCGGCCGGATTCGGGACCCCTTAGCAGGCGGCGCCGGCGGCCACATCCCAACATCCCCCTTAGCTCATAAATCATACCGGTTCCGGTAGCCGGTCTCATCCTCACGTTAACTCTCTCTCTTACCCTCCTGTCTATCTATTCCCTTTGTGATACACGGTTATATATTATTTTGTCACTCGATTGCCGGATGCGTGTATTACCTGTCCAGCTGTTTGACTTGATTAGTACATGGAGCCACGTTATTGCTATTGTTTTTCTCTTTTAACTGTTATCTTCCTTTTTAAACCATGCCGGTCAGCGATGACCCCCTCATACTCTTTTTAGCCCGTTTAACGCAACCAGTTCCCGCTGGAAGACCGAGAGAATCGTATTTCCTTTTTAATTACACATTTTATTTATTATTCCTTTTAAATCGCTTTTTTTTTTTTTTTTTTTTCGTTTCTTCTCTGTTTCCGTTTTAAAACCTTATCCTCTTCCCCCACATAATTACAATTACAATTTTCCAATACCCCGCTTCGCAATTCTCTTCTTTTTTCCTTTTATTTTCCCTTTCCTTTCTTTCGTTGTTTCCCACCACCTCGTGTTGGCATGAGATGCAAATCCACCACAGTATCGGACCTTTTTTTTATATATTTTTTTTCTTCCGTGGGTGTGATGAACGCCAACGCGACTCCCGGCTGGATCTTCGCATTCCCATATGTTCCGTTTTCAGTTTTTACACTGTTCACCGCACATATGTCTATATGCCTGTTGCCTTTCCCCCCAAATGTTACCTGTTAGAATACGCGCAGTATCTACCCCCCGCTACTGGCTACGACAAGAGCCTGTTTAAGGAAGCCCCAGCTAACCTACCACCTGCTGCTGCTTCTCATCTTACGTCATGCATGCCGACACGTCTACGTCAGCTCTTCCTTCGTTTTCTTTTCTTTTCTTTCTTTTCCTTCTTCTGCGTTGTGCCTATTAAGTAATAATATATGTACGGCTAGGTGTCGTGTCTCCTGCCTTTGTCAGAGTAGTTAATGTTATGTATGGGTTTTGTTTCTTTTTTAACTTTCCTGTACCTGGTCCGTGTGCTATTATTTCCTTTGTTGTCTCGTTTTCTTGTAATTGATGGATGGATAGGATAGGATAGTGATTAGTGGGTTGGTGGAGATGGATGAAACTGAGACGGATGGGTAGGTAGTTGTGTGAGAGTATGATACTATGGTATATCCCCAATGGAGATTATTGTTTTTGCTACATGGATATATGGGCTATGCGGAGGGTCGTGTGTGGATGGACCTCTGTCTCTCTCTCTCTCTCTTATATATATATATATGTGTGTGTGTGTGTGTTTGGTGTGCTGTCTAATGACCGGCCGTCTATAGTTTTCAGGTCTTTAGATTCTTAATTAATCTCGCATGACGAGTTATAGGGACGTACGTAACAGGCTAATAGAGCGATGATGCAAATGCTTGCGTCCATCCCGAAATTACTTGCTCAGTTTGAGTTTGCTTGACAGATATCAAAATCAAAAAAAAAAAAAAAAAAAAAAAAAAAAAAATCAGACGCCACAATCCCCATGCCCAATCTCCAATCGTTTCATATTCTAGAAATACAGTTCACGTAGATCCCATTCCCTCCCTGCCTCCCCTTCCCCCCAATATCAAAACAACCCCGACCCCCCCTTCTTCGACCCCCCATGCCCTGTGCCCTATCCTCCCTTACAGCTCCCCACCCCACAACCCCGCCACCGTCTCCACCGCCCGCTCAACAACCACCCGCACCCGATCCCTCAACACCGCATACCCGCACTCCACCTCCAGCGTCTCCAGCCACACCCGCGCCACATGCTTGTCGACCCGGATCTCCAGGCCCGGCACCGGAATGCCAAGGCTGTGCAGCCGCTCGAGCTCGGCGCATTCAAGCTCGTGCACGTCTTCTGGCGTGAGGTCGTCTTCGGGTGCTGTTGTTGTTGGGGCCGGGGCCGGGGCCGGGGAGGGAGAAGGGGAGGGGGCGGGGGCGTTTGTCCCGCCCGAGGCTGCCGGGGTGGAGACGGCGCTGGTGGTGTCTGTGTCTGGTTTTAGGAGTGTAGATGCTGATGTTGATGTGCCGTTGTGTTTAAGAGGAGTGGTGGTAGTGGTGGGGGCAAAGGAGGTGTGTTTTATCTTTGGCTTTTCTATCGGGGCAATGTTGGGGCCGAATTGCGCTTCGAGTAGCATGCAGAGGCGCGCGAGGCGTTCTTCTGCGGTTAGGTTGGAATGTGGGTTTGGTAAGTTGAGGGGCGGGGCGTGCGAATGTAGATGCTGGTGCTGTTTGCTTGAGCCTGCAGAAGCAATACCAAAAGTTAGAAAACGGTAAAATATTTGCAAAGGGGGATGACGGACGACAGGGGTTTCATACGTTTTACAGAAGCTGGGCTTGTCTCCACTGTCAGCAGCACGGCCATCACCGCATCGGCAATCCCATCGTTCATCATATTCCCTTCCCACTCGACCGCCACCTCTCGCGTCCGTGGGGTGTAGCGGATAGTCACGCAGCCCATCACCAGATATGCTAGTGATTCATCTGTCGGAATCTCCTCATCAGCTTCCTCTTCCTCCTCTTCTTTCTTCACAAGCCCACTCTCCTCTTCAAAACCGTTCGTCTTTACGTCCTCAGTCTTATGGCGCTGGGGACGGATTTCCTCAATAGACCCAAAAGTCCCCTCCAGCGCCCATCGGATCAAGTCAATACTCGCTGTGCTGAGCGTAATAAGCTGCTTACAAGTGATGGTCGTGGTAGCAAGCCCTGCATACTCTCTAAGATCTTCCGGCGCCATCAGGGATAACTTGAATCCGTTTTGTACAAGAACCCCATTCATAATTCGCGACTCGTTATGGTCGGATGGTGGTGAGCTCTCTGCGAGACGCCCAACAACTTTGGCCACCTTGTCGACTTGGAAGGGTATTCGGACTTCCTCGCAGTTTGCTGGTGTATATACTTTGACCTTGACGGTTTTGTCCGCATTTAAACTTAGTAATTTTGATTTCAGGCGCATCATTTGATTTTTTTCGCCGTGAACAAGGATCTGTCACGAATAGTTAGTACAAAAAAAGTACGTTATAGAGATAAAGTTTAACAGGAGGTGGTTAAATAACTTACCACAACAGGGGCAGCAACTTCCTCAATAAATTCGCGATTCTCCATCCCATCTACGTGGGCCGCAAAACTGATTTCGTCCACGGTGCATCGCCTCGGAATCATGACTTTTTGCTCATCATCTCCAGCAGCCATTCTCCTGGCTGGACCAACTGCATTTCTACCACTCATCACCGCTGGAATCTGCTCTGGCTCATTTAGGATCTGTTTGCCCATGGTCCCCTCAACACTGTAACCCGTCATGATAACACCGTTACGTTCGCTTGGTGCCCACCGCTCTAGAAGTTCCCGACTGGTGCCTGTTTGCAGCATACCAGGAGACGCAAGCATGACGCAGCCGCCAACATCATCGAAGCGCTCAATGCTCCTTACACTGCGTACGAAACGGAAATCCCACGGTCCGGCGCTTACGCTCTTGTCTCCGGAAGCTTCAGCCTCCGCCATTCGCTGGCGGAAGAGACGTTTGATATTTTCGTTCATGGCTCCGATGTATGTCTGATAGACAACCATACATCTCCGTGCGATGTTTCCGATATAGTAGATAGGAATTTTCTGCAGCTCTGGATGCCGACTCCAGTATTCGTCGAGAATTAATAGGAGTTCCTGCGCTCGTCCCAGGGCAAAAACTGGCATGAGAACTCGTCCTCCTCGATTCAGAACTCCGGTGATAGATTTCATGAGGGCTGCTTCTCGCTCCAAGCGAGGTGGGTTGGAAGATACACCGAATGTGGATTCCGTGATGAGGACATCAATTTTGATGCCCTTGGGTGCTTCCGCGGATATAAGATGGCGGTCTTCTTCACGAGAGTAGTCACCCGTAAATAGAATGTTAAGACCGGCGATTGATATTAGGAACATTGCTGCGCCAAGGACATGACCAGCGGGAAATGGAGTAATGCGAATGCTATTGATCGTATGGGTGGTGTTAAAATCAATGGCCTCTATTTGGGATAAGGTCGAAAGATGATCTTGTTCGGTGTAGAGAGTTGTGCGCTGGTCGGAGGAAGACGACGTATTGCTGACCCGGACATTGTCCTGGATCAACCATTTGTAAATAGCTTTGGTAGCATGGGTCATAAAAACCCGCCCTTTGAAATTGGTTTTGCTAAGGACGTACGGTAGACTGGCTGAGTGGTCCAAATGGAAACTAGGCGGTGCCAAACACAGGGGGTTAGCTATGTGTCCAGCTTTCAAGTATGGAAAATAGACCAAGATACGCAGCTTAAGGAAACAGGGGTGGGTATGGTATGTAGGCACTGGTTGCTAAGGTTGAGAGCAATACAAGGTGATACGGAGAAACAAGAAACATAGAGGACGAAGACAAAAAGTAATTTCATTTGTTTTCTGATATGTATATATATCCAGGACAAGGGAAAATAAAGAGGTGATAAAGGTTGTGTGGGTAATTTCCCAAAAAATCGAAGCAGAGTGCTGTTCTGCGAATGCTGACAGTTCTTGGTACACAGTACAACCATACTCTTATCCCTCCAATCCAGAATATCCGCACCAAGATCAAAATTTAAGACATGGTAAAACAAAATAAAAAGTTCTACGTACTGGCTTATAAGAAGAATATCGACAGTGCTGAGGTCGAAATCGTCGAAGAAGGGGAGGGCAGCGAAACCTTCTTTGGCTGGGTGCATTCCAGCATCAAGCTATACAGTTGGGAGTCAGCGAGACAGGACAGCGACGCGGCGCAACGGACAACGACAAACAAAACAACAATTGCTCACCATAACTGTCTTCCCCTTGTATTGGATGATATGACACGACCTCCCGACCTCATTTCCACCTCCCAGATTGTAGAACAGGAGCTCATCAGAAGGGTCAACGGGCTCATCACCGCCAGTGGCCTGGAGGGCAGACGCCTTTCGCTTGGTTGCCATGATATATATTGGTATATGTATTGATGTCTCCCACTTCCCTAGCTAGATAGACGTAGCATCCGTAAATTGTGTGATATTTTGACCTGTATCACAAATCCAGTATTCCCAGGCGCACCGAGAAGCGAAGCTTGTTTAACGAGCCATCCCTCTCTCGAGGACCGGTTGGGGCTCAGCTGTGGCACTCCAACGTAGGATATACCGGCCCGTAGATTGCAGTGGTATCCGCTGCAGGTATCTAGTGATCCCTGCTTGAATAATCGCGTTAATATTGCTCCTCGCACTTCGCGTTTATCGTTGAACGTCGTCGTTGATCTTCCACCGCAGAAATTGACCTCAACAGATGGATTGCTTATATCATCAGCTCCTCACGTGACCGTGAGCCCTTATCAAAGCCGCATCAAACTCCTTCCAACTTCCAAACAACAAGGACAAGGAACGAAGACAACATCAAATATCCGACATCTATATCAACACCCAGCTAGACAACTGCGATAGGAAGAATATATAGGAACCGTTCGTGACTGCCCGGTTATACGATATCGCATCACATCCCTGTCCACGCCTGGCAGAATGACTCTGAGATGACCGCGTTTCCTCCACACGTCTCTTGGCCGGGCGCATTGCTCTCCCTCTTCACTCGGTTCTTTTGCGAGTTGACGCTTCACTCGTGAGCTTAACAGCTATTCACATTTAGCGCTTCTCCTCTGCGCCTCTTGGGCGATCTCCTATTCACCATGGCCCAGACGCAACCTCAGCAATTTGCTGCACAGGCCTTCTCCCCGCCTGCCTCCACTCCGTCCCCATCTCCTGGAGCCCCGTCTCCCGTCAGCGGCATTGCCCCTCCTCCGAAACGACAACGCCTCTCACCTTTACCTCAGACTCACTCTCCCTACGCATCTCCTAGCTTTGGCACATTACAGCTGCCTCGTACAGGAAGCCCAGGTAGCGGCAACTTTGCCAACGGTACCTCCACTCCAACCATGGCTGCCCCTCCGCCTCCAGGAGTTATGGGACCACCATCAAGGCCCGTCGAGAAAGCCACCGATACAGCTGAACTAACCGATGTTTTGGCTTCATCTGGCATCGATGTGAGAGAAGAGGAGGAATATTTGACCCACGCATATGGACAGGCTCCCACGAAGCAACCGCCGCGGATCCAAACGAATTTCAACAACTCCTTTGCCTCCCAACCGTCTGCTGGTAGAGTCTCCGCAGGAACCAGCTTTGTCGGCTCAACGCTGCAGAAACCAACGCCCACGCAGAGTGCATTTCCTGTTCGTACATCAAATACTGCGGAACCCGCCACCGTACAAACGCCCGAGGCTACCGCCGAAGATGAAAAGCTACGCAAAGATACTGCAGCAAGCAGGCGTACACAATACCCGCTGCAGGCGCCTTTTCTATTCACGGCAATGGTGGAAGATCGAATACAAAAGCGAGCCTATGACCTTGGAGTGCGGATGCCGGCACAAGGCGTTTATCGTCCGTTCCCAGGCCGCGCTGCTGGCCCGGTCGAGGTGACAGGTCCGGATGGTTCTTCAGTGATACGTACCGGCAAAACACTTTTGACCCAAGATGCTCCACTTGGCGACATTCTGTCTTTGATATCTCTGGCCTGTGAAGAACGGCTTCGCTCTGTGGTCGATCATTCTTACTCGATTGCAAACAACCGACGTGCAAATTCTCACGGCGCTGTTCCATTAGAATGGAGCGACGTCGCAGTTACATTAACACCCCCTGGTGAAAAGGTGGAGGGCCCGTCGGGCAGAGAGACGGCTGCTAACACACTAACTCCTAAACGTATGCAAATGGTGCGGCCATGGAAACTTATGATAACCACTGAGCTAACTATCGTATCTACTAGGTCCTCTATCGGACACCTCAAAGAGTGATGAACCTCCAAACAAGAACCAGATCACAGTAGCCAATATCATCGCGAAACGGAGCCGCAGCCTAATCGAAAAGGACATGTCACATGAAGAACGACGGGCTCGTAAACGAGCTAGAAGGAGTGCTGACGCGATCCTAGGCGGTGATTCCAATAGAGCGGACTCTGTTGGAGCTACCACCCCCGGCGCCGCCACACCCACTGTTCTAGCCAGTGAACGTCCTCCGGATGACCGCAAAACCACAAAAAAGGACTTGAAAAAGGCCGACTCCAAGGTGACAGAAGCCGTGCAGCATCAGCAGTCCGTCGAAACGGCGCGGATGGCCACGAACAGCCTGACGTCGGGCGTCAGATTTGGCGGGAAAAAGAAAACCTACAGCTGGCTAACCAGTGGATCTCCTGCAACATCGCGGAGTGGTTTTTCCACGCCACCAAGGATCAGTGCTGCTGGTGCCGTTCCAGGCGCGTCTGCTGCAAAACCTAGTGGCGGTAGCGCTGGAGGAGCTAGTAAACCCGTGGCTAAAAAGATGGGAGATTGGCGAGAGGATGACAAGGAGCGTGGAGCCGGGATCCAGATTAGGGACATCCTTTTCGTGTTGGAGGTGGACGGGAAGGGCACGAAGCATCTACAAAAGGCTTACTCGAAGGAATCCAAAGAGGATACGGACAGACCGGTGCTGTAGTAGCCTTATTAAAGTCTAACCCCGCAAATTGAAGAAGTGGCATGTTGAGAGCAAGGAGAATTACGGAGCACAGGCCTCTTTGGTTAACCCTTGGTTGTCTCGTCTCATTCTAACTCCATTCCCCAGGTTGTTTGGCCGAGGCCGGTTTTTTTTCTTCCTTCTTTTCCAGTTTTACACATGGATGGGTTAGTTTATTATTAATTACCTTATGTTTTATTAGTTTAATCCATCTGCAGTTGCATAAATATGTACTGCTCTGCATGAAAGTGGCATCAAAAAATTGCTACAGTTCTGATATTCTCCCTATTTACTTTGTTCTACGAGCACTATCAAGCATAGCTCATCTCTTTCTCAGCTGTAGATTTGTCATTTTTCCACCTCCGTTTTAATTCATTCTCTACGGGTTCTTCTCCAGGCGGACACAGTGTCCATACAGATAATATGGCCCTATCCATGGCTATTACTGGTCGCCATTCTGAAGATTAATGGCTGTTTCCGCTTTATCTTCTTCCCTAACTATTTCGCTATTAGGAAATCACTTATTGTAAGACGATACGCGGGATCTGAGATACGCGTTGACATGGATAATAATTCCCAACTTACATAAATTCGGTGTGTTCGTGTCAGAATCTGCATCGACGGCGCATTTATTTATTTATTTATATTATTTTTTCGATGTCCTCCGGCGTTGGTTATCTCCCCACCAAATCCGGCCCAACGGGACATAACACCGGCCTTGCTTTGCCTTCACTGTTCCTCGTTTTTTTATATGAAAATTATGCGATGGCTACCTGCGAAGATCCCGGCCCGGCCTGTTCTTTTTGCTCTATATGGAGTATCCTGGTGGAGCTCAATGAGAAGCTCGAGGCTCGACTTTGTTAACTCAAGCCCTGTTTCTTTCCTGATTGTGAACATGTGGTTGAAATGTCTGCTTTTTCTATCTAAATCATTCATTTCATTAAATTTCCCCGACCCCCGACCCTATTGGCCCTTTTAAGCTGGTTTTGAATGGACAATAATACATGCACAGCAGCGGAAGAAACCCGGTTATACCGCTATGGATGAGTTATTTCTTGAACATAACGCGTTCTTACATGAGCCCATGCTTCTGCCTCTGCTCCAACAGGGGCATGCTATCCGGCGCCGGAACGATAAATACGTTCGCCGTTGGCGTTGTATGTACATCGTGCTTCTTGCTTCATGCTTCGAGCTGCTTGCGGCGGAGCTTCCAACAATGTGTGGCCACCGTGCAGATTATGAAATTTGCCATTGCCAACAACGCAACGCGATGCGAGGGGGAAGGAAAAAGAGAATCAAAAACACGGGGGAGAATGCCATGCGGCCAGCAGCAATTTATATGATTGCATATTATTGCGTTTTACATATATCAGACCTCTTTGATTCACTCCTGTGCGTGCATCTCGGCGGACCGCCAGTGATATATATATATATATCTACCTATTTACTTCTCTCTTTATATATATGTATATAGAGAGGCATATATGCCACTCTCACATTCCAACAAGCGGATGACAGGAGAGGAGGTAAAATGATGTTCATCGCTTGCCTGATGGCCGTGGCCATCGCCCCGGGCCTTGTATCATCAACGCCAACTCCAAGTTCCAGGGAAATTCTTGCGTAAGTACCTCTACTCCAACCTTTTACACTCCAATTCGACCCATCGTGAGCAAATGTGAAGACAAAATGAGGCTGGAAGAGAGAAGAGGAAAACCACCTTATACTGACTGACAACATCCCTCCCCGCGCCGTAAGCATCCAACCCGGCCAACTCATAATAGACACTTTCGCCCGCCTCCAGCAACCCAGCCAACCTGGCTTCAATGAAACCACGACCAGTACCGCCGCCTCCGCCTGTGCTCTGAGCCCTAACTTCGACGCCTCTGCCTCCGAACCCACCGCGCCCCTCGCATACATCAACCCCGCCCTCCTCCACGAGGGTCAAGGAAACAGCAACAGCAGCAGCAGCAGCAGCAAATTCAAAAGCAACAGCAGCGCTAGTGCCAGTGCCAGTGCCAGTGCCAGTGCCAACGGCACGAGCCTCTGCGGCGCCTCCATCATAGTTATCAACCCGTTTTTGACCAAGGCGATAGCCGCGACGGTTGGGGGCGGTTGTGGGAACTGTTCGCTGTATGATCTTGAACTGTCGGAGGTGGCATGGCGGGAGTTGACGGGGACGGGGCCAGTTAGGGAGGGAGGAGGGGAGGAGGGGGAACCTGAGGGGTTGAAACCGGGCTCTGTGTGGAAAGCTAAAAGAGAGAATATTAGTGTTTCTATTCAGTGGTAAGTGATGGAGAATTCTTTGTCTTTTTTTCCTTTTTTCCTTTTTTCTTTTTTTTCTTTTTTTTTTTGCCCTTTATTTGTATGTCTATCTTGTTACTCACAAGCATAAAAAACTTACTTTTTGTTCCCCTCTCAGGATGATTTCACCACTTTTATCAGCCAACAGTGGTCCACAGGTGTCGCTCGATATCGGTCAGAAACAAAGTCTGAATACGAGTCAGGCTTCAAATACGTCTAACAAGGCGCGTGTTCCCGTCTCGCCTGGAATGCGCCAAGTGCGAATATGGGAATCATGGCAGAAGGAGAGGGGGTAAGGGAGATTGCTAGAATTATTTTTTTAGGGGGGAATTGGATCTGTTATCTATTGCACAATTTGACATCACCCATGTTTATTTCTATCATCATCTTTCTGTATTATTATTCTTTTTCTTCACCTTCCTTTTTATCATTATAAGATTTCCCCCTGGAATTGATATATATATTTGTTGCCTTTTTACCCCCTTGTCCCAACTAATCATGCTACAAGTAAGCATCATTCATATTCATAGCATCTCTATGTATTTTCTAACAAGAATGATCCAAGAGGACAAAACAGGCCCATGGCCCATCTGCCATACGGTAGTCGTCAGAAAATTTCCATCTTGCTCAAACAGCCTCGCCCAAATCTATGTGCAGCGCACACAGACGAAGCGCAGTGAGCGGCTTAACTCAACTCATCTCGCCCGCTAGCCAGCCAGCATAACATGACACGCCGCCCTTGGGCGGAGATATTAGGCGGGATAAAAGGGGATGGATGGCGGGTATGTCAGAAGTGACATGCTTTGTTTTTGTTCACCTTCATCATAAATATATACATATATATATGTACCTTGATTTTGCGCCCCTTTGCTCCAAAGTCCAAGGCGCGTTTTCGTCTTCCCAAGTGTGTGTATCATTCAATCAATCAAGCCAAAGAAGTAGGAAAACAGGGAAAACAAGGCAAGAAGAGGAGGGAATTAGAAAAAAAAAAAAAAAAAAAAAAGGCAGCAAAACAAGAGTCATGGACGAGAACAAGGAAAAATAAAAAATAAAAATAAAAATAAAAATAATAGCAGTAGTGTAAAGCTTTCCCATGCACTGTAATGTACTTTAGTAGTAAGTAGTAGTAAACAAACAATCTCACACGCACACTGAGTGAGTTCCGCTCGCACACGCCTCCTCCACGCCAATTGATTACTGGTGATGAAAAGCCGCCCCAAAGCCAAAACAACCTAATTAACCAAGTCAAAAAAGAAAAGAAAAGGTAATTACTTAAACACCCCTTCCAACGCCCCTATTATTTCGTTCCTAATCTGGTCTATTGTCTGGCTCTGTTTTGTTTGTTGCTCCGGTATATTGATAGTGCTAGACGGGGGGTGCGTGCGCGCGGGTATATGCGTGTGTGAGGGAGAGAGAAAGAGAGAAGGAGAGAGGTGCGTGTGGAGAAGGCCAGAGATTAACGGATATCAGAGCACTGAACATAGACAGACACAGAAAAAGAAACATTCATTACTTCGTAAGCACACATAGAAAGCACCATGCAAAACTGTGGAAAACCATCCACACACATATGTATATAAATACCAAATCAAAATAATATACCCCTGATTTCCCATAACAATGAAATAGCGAAGGAAAAAAAAGCCAAGTAAGGGAAGAAGAAACGTATATAGACAGCCATTATCTACTACGAAGCAGACCTTGACGTCGCGGCAAGATCATCGCGGATTTGCTGCCCGATCCTCAGCGCCTCGGTGCCGTCGTCTATGATCGATTCTTTGAACCACGGGTGTTTGAGCGCTTGTTTTGCGGTGATGCGCGCTTTGGGATCGTAGACGAAGATGCGGCGGAGCAGGTCGAGGAAGTGCTTGTTGAAGTTTGTTGTGGCGGGGATGAATTCCTGGGAGGGAGGAGGTTTTGGTTAGTATCAGGGGTAAAATTAACAAGCAACAATAAAAGGGGGGTTGGTGAGATATCGTACATGGAGTGGTTTCATAGCACGGACGTATTTCTTTGATGCTTTGGATGTTTCCGCATTGGGATAGTCGAGTTTACTTCGGTTGAAGTATCTGTTTTTTTTCTCGTTAGATACAAATAAATAGAAAAAAAAAAAAAAAAAGGTGGGAGGAGGGGAAAAAAAGGTGGAACATACTTAGCGGCTGCATTCACACTCCCACCACGGCCCTGCATTACCTGCTTGACAATTTTCGCGTCGATCTTGCCCCCACAGACACTCTCCATCATAGCCAGGTGTTCGAGATTGTCATGTGTTTGGAAGAGGGCATCACCTGTGAAAAACTCGACGAGGATACAGCCAATGCTCCAGATGTCACAGGGAAAGCTCCAGCCTAGGTTCAGGATGATTTCCGGAGCGCGGTAGTGGCGTGTCGAAACGACAGATGAGTGGTACTCGTCATTGAAGGTGGCAGATCCGAAGTCGATGAGCCGGATCTCGCTATTTAGGAGGACGCGCCGTTGACGGGCGTTGCGAGAGGAGGTATGTGAAGATGATGGGATGGCTCGGTTGTATGTGAAAGTCTGGTAGGCATTGTTGACTAGGAGGATGTTTTCGGGCTTTAGATCAGTGTGGATCAGATTGAGATCGTGGAGGAAGGCAACGCTGGTAAGGAGCTGTCGAGCAAAGTTCTGGATCTGGCTACTTGGGAAGGGAACGAATCCGTTCCCTTTGAGGAAGTCGAAGACGCTCTGGCCCAGCAGATCCGTCACGATACAGATATGATTCCGAAAATCAAAGCAGTCCCGGAGATGGATGCATTTGTTGCGATTGGTTCTGTCGTTGGAGGCAAGCGTGGAGAGCACCCGCAGCTCGATCCGTGAAGCCTCTCTGTATTTTTGCACGGATCGGATGATCTTAACGGCACAGCGTGTCTTTTTATGTTTGTCATACGCCTCCACGACCTTTCCGAAGGTCCCTTGACCGAGTAGTTTGATAATTGAGTCTTATATACCAATTAGTAAGATGTGTGCTTTAAACAAAACCGATCAGGGTTAGAGACACTCACATCTCTCTGTTAAATCAGTGTCTGGGGTGACTATGTAGTGTCCATCATCGTCGTCTACCTTTTGGTTTTTAGGAAGATTGTACTGTTCAAAAAAGTTAGCCATGCCGAAAAGGGTAGTTTCATATATATCAGTCCCCCAGGGGTGGGGTTGGGAATGGTGGTGATGGTATGCATACATCTCGGATCACCGGTACAGTCACATCTTTGGCCTTTATAGGCGGTTTTGGAGGGGGTATATAACTGCTAAATGCATCGCCAGAAACCTCCAACTCCCTCCGTTTCTGTTCATCACGGGCAGATTTGCGCGTCACCACCCGCTTCCGCTTCTGGCCAATGGCAGCGGCGTCGTCGTAATATAAACTGTTCGACGCGGCACTACCGTGAGAGCCCATTGACGTCGGGGCAGTGGTGTGCAGAGAGGTAGTTCGATCCGTGGAGATGGAGGTGCCTGACGAATCTTCGCCGTATTGCTGGGGGTGGATAGAGAACGCAGGCCGGTCGTAGTAGGACATATCAATAGCGGTTTCCATGCCGGTGCGTCTTCTTTTGGTTGCGGGGGCAGGGTGGGCAGCGCCATTGATGCCGGACGCGATGCCAGACCGCGCAGTGATATGTGAGAGTGGCAATTTTTGGCGTGTGGAAGTTGTTGCGTTGTTTTCTTGGTTGTTGATGCCATTGGGGTTGACATCGTCGTCATCGTCAATTACGATTATTTCTTTTGGCACTCCGTTCTTGTAGAACTCGGCCCAGTCAGGCTTTTTCCGCCGGCTCTGGGCAGTAGGTAGCGTAGTAGCAGAGGAGGGCTGGGACTGGTAGAGCGCCATATTGGCCTGATGGTGGCTTATGGAGGAAGAAGAGGCGGGTTTTGACGGAGCGGGGAGAGGAAGAGTGGCATTATTGGGCTGGGAGGAGGTTGCCGTAGCTGTCGGATAGGAGTAGGAATTGGCCAGACGAGAGGAGCTTGCAGAGACAGCGGTCACAGCAGACGACGAAGGATACGCAGTGGAGGCAGACTGGTGGTAGGTCTGGTGGTGCGGGTAGCCATAGTGTGGGTGACGCGATGGGTGCGTGGCCGTGGCAGTTGAAGGGGTTGACATGATGGGGTTTTTTTAGAGAAAAGCACTAGGTGACGGGGACGCTCTCTCTTCGCGGGGGAAGAAAAAGGCAAAGGGAAAACGAATCCCCTTGCTCGCTTTCGATGTGGACGAGGGTAGTGAAAAATATCAAGAAAAGAGAGGAAGAAAAGGGCGTGTGTCGCTCTTGATGGCCGCCGAGCGGAAGGGTAAAAAGAGGAGGCGACTCAAGCGGGCTTCCAGGCTAAGAGAGAGCCATGGACACCGGGGTGAGACAAAAACACCCAGAATTAGCAGTAGTAACTAGATAGTAGTTGGGGGGTAGTGAGAGAGAGGAGAGAGAGGGCGTAGTTGACGGGTGCCAGAGAGAGCTGGATATGAGGATAGGTGGATGATGGCAGGGGGACACCGCGAAAGGTTGCGGAGAGAGGAGAAAAAGCGGTTGAAGTGAGAGGTTTGTGGTTGTGGTTGTGGAGGAGGAGGTGGTCGGTCCTGGTGGTGGGTGGTATGGTAGTGGTGGTAGTGGTGGTGGCAGCGGTGGCAGCGGTGGCAGCGGTGGCAGTGGTTGGTGGTCCGGAGAGAACGTCTCCTCGCCCGGGCTGAGGACAGGGGAGGGAGGCAGACGGGACGGGGGCCAAGAGAAGAGCAGAGGCGAGCAGAGACGAGCAGACCCGACCCGATGCGAGGACGTTGGCGATGGAATGGCACTCTTTGATGATGGGCGGGAGATAGAAAAGAAACAGAGAGAGAGAGAGGGAGAGAGAGAGAGAGAGAGAGAGAGGCAGATGCAGAGGCAAGGTAGAGTGGACTCTTTCGGTCTCTCCAGATCATCCAGCTTAGGATAGACGTTGTTCCGTCCGACTCTGGTTGACGGGGGATGTATTTATGTACATGTACATACATTACGACAACTATTATACATAAGTTAGTTACCTACATATTAATTATATATCTTTATACACATGTAGATACGTGAATATGGATTTCTACTCCTGTGCAACTCCCCAGATATCTCGCTATCTCTGGTTGTGGCCACTGTGTGTGTATGTACAGTACATACATTGTACATACATTGTGCTTTGTGGATGGATCTAGATAGATAGATAGTTAACTAAATACTTTCCGGGGGGGCGAACATGGCCAAAAAACTCTACAACCAAGCGAGGAATATTATTTATTTATTATTTATTCCACACAAATAGTTACCTCCACTAGTTATGTAAATATCTCTCATGAGATTTGATGTAGTTATGTATTGCTTTCCTTTTCTTTTTCTTCCTAAAAAAATAATTATCAAAAAATAGAACAAAAATAAGTACTTTTTACTCCATATATTGAATTTTATATGCAGGACGTGGCATTAAATGGTAGGGTTGTGTTGTTACACTGCTGACAATTCGCCAGGTTTTTTTCATTGCTGGAGCAACAACAACAACCTCCTTTTATCTTGAAAAAGGAATGAGTCTTCTCCTGGTTCATATGTAAAATACCCAGCTATTAATAAGTCGGATGGATCCTAAACTCAATCTGCTCATTACAATACGACATCTGGACATGCCGGTCATTAGCCATACTATACTACTACTACTCTACTATCTACTACTGTACACTCATACATCGTCCAATATACCCTCGTAGCGCCCATTAATAGTTCTTCATATTAAAATGCCTGACCACAGTATTCCTGCACAGTGCTCTCTCTCGCCCCTGTAAAATGCGCGACTAAAAGGAAGCTAACATGTACAGATATTCACTCCTTCATGACTGGAAAGGATAACATATTTAAATCAAGTCCGCCGGGAGCCTGTAGGTATCTTGTGGCCTATGGATGAGTACAGTAATCTCTTTTGCTTCTTTTTGGTGTTCTGTTATTCTGACGGAGGACAAATATTTTTGGGAGGCTCCTGCTGGAGTGAACGAAGCGGGAAGTTCGGGTTCAGACGTTGCCATAACTGTGGAAGAGACCACATATCTCCGATCCCTTTGGGCGCTTGATTGTCCCTTTTCCGTCCTCTTTCCTGCCTTCTAGAGCCAGCAGCTGGAACGAGTACACGGGAGGAGTTGCGTGGTTTCCCCTGCGTTTCCCCTGCGCGATAAAATAGACATGTAAGTTTTTTTTTTTTTTTTTTTTTTTTTTTTTTTTTTTTTAATAGTCGCCAGCCTCTGTTTAACAAGATGGTAACAGTGTAATTAGGGCAGATGAATAAATAGATCCAAAAGTTTATCGAGAAGCAGGAAAATGAAGGGAGAAAGAAGCAATATTTTATGTAACCCGAATCAGTCAAATCTAGACATCTATATTGAACATCTATGCCACTATATAGTTCGGGAAAAAAAAAGGCAAGAAAAATATCAAGAAACCCACACGTCTAGACGCCCAGCTGGATGTAACCAGAAAAAGAGAAGAGGAAGAAAGAATCTAAAATCGAGATGGCATAAAAACAAACAGTGATATCGAAAGGGAATTTTTTTCGGGATAGTCGAAGAGGAAGATCATATACCCCTGTTGAATTCAACTTCGTCGTCCTTCCCACCGCGGCCCCAAAACTCCTTTTCCAGGGACCGAGCACTAACCGCTTGTCGTTGCGGGAATGCACCAAGTGCGAATGGAAGTGCACAGAGGGAGGTCGTTAGAATCAAGCCTGCACGAATTAGCCACAAAAATACAAGAATACCTCTCTCGTACCTAACTTGATAAAGGAGGAAAAAAAGGAGCATACCTAGGTTGATAGGCATCACAAGCCGAGGCCGCGCCTTGAGCCAATGCTTCGCCTGCAGTCGTACGAGAATCAAGGGGGGAATAGCCATGACCGGAGTCGCATTGAGCACTCGACTAATCGCCGTTTCCCCTACCGCTAACGTAGCGGCCTTCTTGCTTTTCCCTAGACTTTGCACCTCCACGTCTCCGTCCGCTTCTCGTTTCGCCTTCTCTTCGTCGGAGAGGACGGGGTAGATGTCGATTCCCTTGCGGATTTCCTCGCCGCGCATTAGGAATACGTTCAGGGCGCCGGCGGTGGCGACGGCCGCGAAGGGCACGAGGCGACCGAGGATCAATTTTGTGTTGGGCGACACCCGTTTTAAGCGGGGCACTACGGCATTTAGGCCCAGGGCGACTGAGCACGAGGCGGAGACGGCCATGAGGTATGATTTCGCCATGGCGGAGTAGGAGAGCGGGGTTGACTTATTTGCGTTCGCGTTGTTGATGGCTACGTTTAAAGATTGGTTGGCAACCTGCCAGAGAACTATACCCCTTGTCTATTTGTCATTCATGAGCTGGTAGATCTTCAATTGAGAATAACAAGAGAAAATATATGGGTTTGGAGACATACACCGAGGCCGGGAGTAAGCATTCCTGCAGTCACGATTAGATTGGACAGGACGAAGCACGACATGCGAAAAGGGAGAAAGACTGGTTGACCAGTATCTAGATAGGAAATTAGCCGTTAGCATTCAACGCTTCGCTATTGTGTAAATCGACTTCACAGGGAGAGCAACTGCTAGCATACCAGGGTGCAAAGTCGAATCGACAATTCGTTTCGCCCGCCATAGCTCTGGTGTCATTGACGGGACATGGCCACTTTTATATGAGGCAATGAGGTTTTTAGCCTTCTCCAGGCCAGCGGAAGAGACAAATAACGTCCTGGATAAAGCATTGACAGCGATTAGTCATTGCCGAAGCAAGAGAATAGAAATGAACGACTTTGCCATGAAGCCTGCTCTAGACAAGACGTTTTGATGTGTAGTGTGAGGGTGAAGAGCCCTACCTAGGGTCCGAAATTTCTGCAGCCTGTTTAACTCTACCCCAGTATGTCCTCAGATCATGTCTAGAAGGAGGGAGATCTCGATTGCCGGAGATTGAAGCCGCCATGGTGGCGGCAGGGGAATCAGGGATGCGAAAACCCCTGCAAGCAAGACAAAAACTGAAGGGCGCAATAGAAAAGAGTATAAGCAAAAATCAATGGGCAAAAAAAGAAAGGACTCGAGCTTAGAAAGCCCCCTGCCGCACGAACGAGAGAAGTGCGATTCTGCACGGGGCTCTTGATATCGTTTCGGCGAAATGGCGGCGGTGAAGAGGAAAAAACAAAAACCTTATCTTGCTGATAAGATCTTATCTGATCTGGGTTACATAAATCAATAACAGTTTGATGCTGACACTTGTGAAATTGTTATCAACATTCCACGGCTCCTGATGGCAATATTCTTTGGCGCTATAAAAGAGATGTCCTCAGGTTATCTTATAGGATAAGCAGCGTTAATATCACCAGAAATTATTCTTCAGGGAACGAAGAACCGGGCCGTGCATGTCAAGGGAACAGGAGTGAAAAAATGAGACTCATGAAAAGAAACTTCTTACTATAGTATGTCAGAACTCACAGTTACTCACCATCATTTATACTGATCATAAGCCTCTTCAGTTCTTCTTGAAGAGAGATGCTCATGAAGGAATTTACGCCTGGTGGGCAGAAAAGCTTTGTCTTCTGAGTGTGGAGATCCGGTATAACTATACCTGGCACTAGGAGTGCGATGCACGTGACCTTTTCCCCGCTTTCAAAGCTTCTACTAACTACAGAGTGGCAGTTTCTCTGACTTCAACTGACCTCGCCCTCTCTTTGTCTAAAGACATTCGATTTCTGCCCTGAAATTTGTCCTTCTGACCGCTAGCCAGCTGCTCCTTCAGTGATAAAAGGCTCAATTACGGAAATTGACGGAGACATGCCAGACTGGCAGGCGACTATTGAGGATGTGGCCAGGAGTGTAGTGTCTGTATATTTTTGCCGGCCCAAATCATTCGATACAGATGCAGCCGCGTCCTCACAGGCTACTGGGGTCCTTGTCGACGCCACGAATGGGTATATATATCTTAACAAATAGACATGTGGTTGGTGTTGGTCCGTTCCGAGGCTATTGTGTCTTCAGCAATTTTGAAAGGGTATGTGCCTTTTTCCTTATGCACATTGACTATTTCATCTGCTCATGCCTTATTTTGTGTAGTGCGATGCTACAGCTGTATACCGGGATCCTGTTCACGACTTTGGTTTCCTCAAGATCGATCCTACAGCCATCAAACACATGTCCCTCGAGCAGCTGAAACTCCGACCAGAATCTGCGAAACCTGGAGTTGAAATTAGGGTGGTGGGCAATGATGCTGGCGAGAAGTTGACTATTCTCCAAGGAACCATCAGTCGTGTCGATCGGAACGCACCAGTTTATGGAACGGGCTATAATGATTTCAACACGCACTATATTTAGGCAGCGACTGGCGCGACTGGTGGAAGTTCCGGGAGCCCTGTAGTTAACTTAACGGCCATGTGGTTGCTCTACAAGCAGAGGGCCGCGTTGATAAGGCGACTACATCTTATTTTTTGCCCCTTGAGCGGACAGTGCGTGCCTTGGAAAGTATTCAGAGGGGCGAACCCATCACACGTGGCACGATACAGACGCAATGGCTGATTAAACCCTTTAATGACTGTCAGGAGCTTGGCCTCTCAAAGTTGGGAAGCTGTTGTTCGAAAAGCAGCCCCAGAGAACACTGGAATGCTCGTGGCAAATATTGTGCTACCAGAAGGCCCTGGTGATGGAATGCTTCAGGAGGGTGATGTTCTTGCCCAGGTCAACAACGAAATGCTCACTGGATTTGTACGACTTGATGAAATTCTGGATTCAAATGTGGGGAACGATATCCGGCTTCTTGTTCAACAAGGAGGCAAAGATTTGGTGGTCTCATGCACCGTGCATGATCTACACAAGATCACCCCGTCTCGTTATGTTTCTATCGCCGGTACTATATTTCATGATCTATCATATCAGAAAGCAAGATCATATGCTGTAGCATGTCGAGGAGTTTATATCTGCCAAGCTGTGGGATCAATTTGTGTTTTACCGTTGGGTTCGATTTATTCGCACATTACACAATAAATGTGTTGAAAGTCTGGATGAGTTTATCTACGTGATAAAAGCTATTCCAGGTAGGGCAATCTCACTCTGAAAATCCTAACCTACTAACCTCTGCCAAATCTCTTTAGATGGTGCCAGTGTCGTTATTTCTTATCAACAGTTAAATAACCCTCATGACATACTCACTGACTATATTTTCCTGGACCGCCACTGGCATCCTCACCTGATGCATGCAGCAAGAAATGATGAGTCAGGACTGTGGGAATTCACCAACATCGCAGAGCCTATTCCTGCGAGAGACCCTGTTCCCCAGAGCGCTGGTTTTGTTCGACCCGATGGCACTATGCTAGGGGCCACAACTCATGGCCCGCCCCCGCATAAACTTGTACATGAGCCACGCACCGTGGTCGGCCATGATACCCCCGATGTCCATGGCTGAATCATGTAAATTTGTGGCCATCCCTGATCCTACTAGCATCCACCTTTGGACCATATACTTGTGGTCAGCCCCTAGCCAGCAGCTCCCAGGATAGTCCATGATAGTCCACGTTTCTTTGATTAGTGCCCTGGTCTGGTTACTTCCCTACTCCATTCCACGAATTTTACAGCTTAGCAGCCATCCCTGGTCTGCTTTTGTCCCTAATCATGAATATTGTGGCTGGCCCTGATGCTCCCAGCATTCCATTAATATGGGTCATGAACTATGCAGGCTCATGGCTGCCCCTAGTCTTCTCCACTTATGCTCTACAATTGTGGCTATCCCCAATTTAGCCTGTGTTTCTCAGGTGATGTGGTTGCCCCTAGTCCACCTCTGTGTCCCTACTCCTTTCCACCCTATTCCTCTCCATGATTCCCGCCATTTCATGACCATCCCTGGTCCATCCATATCCCTATTCCTCTCCATTAGATTTCCACCATTCATGGCCATCATGGCCATCCCCCTCTGTCCCTATTCCTCTCCATGATTCCCACCCATGGCCACCCATGGCCGTCCCCGGTCCCTCTGTATCCCTATTCCTCTCCATAGATTCCCGCCATTTCATGGCCATCCTTGGTCCCTCTGTATCCCTCCTCTCCATAGATTCATGGCCATCACGGCCATCTCTGGTCTCTCTGTTCCCATGGATGTCTCTGGTCCAATATGTCTCAAGGCTTTCAAGACCATCTACATTAAACAGCAAAATTAAACAGATTTAGATTGTGTAGCTACAATTATTAGTTGATAGAACTCTAAAATCAACATCTAGCTACATGTAGAAAGAAAGAATCATTCACCCTGACCTAAGTAAAGAAATACATAGGAAACATGAGATGAAGAGGATGATAGCCTGCTCATGAAATGCTGTCATGATATTGAGTTCATGCTGTGACTGCTCTGCTCTCTGTCAGCAGGCTCTGTTATCAATCACCCCTATAATATCCCACAGTCCATCTCATCGATGGGACCCATTACTCAATTTATCCTGGAGTGCAAGCCCATGGTTGGGCAAAGTAGCTTTAAGACAGTTGCAGTGCAGTATCCCGGGTAAATAGTGTTGTTATCCTCACATACACCTGGGCATGCTTCACATCCAGCAAATTCCAGCATTCCTCCTCTTCTTTGTGCCAAAGAGGGTGTAATACAACTGACAACATCCTCGAGTTCTGTGATGCGCTTGTCTTTTGCCCCGAGGCGATCTTTATACTCCGCGTCTATCTTGCTCTGAATGCCCAGGAGGAGATCGCCAAACTGGCGTGATTTATCACACTCAACCAGGAGGGCACACAAGGGAAGTGCGAGGGATGGATCTTGGCCGTCTCAACTAGAAGTTCCATCCAGAAAGGCAGAGCAAGGCCGGGCGGCTGCTGATGATATGACTACCATTACCTTCTACGTCTACGAATGGAATGAGTGGAAAGTGGATAGGGTAATAGCTGTTGATCCCTTTGACTGTTCCTTGGTTGAGATGGCGGTATGGAAGTACAAACGGCGGGATATGTTTGTGTACAACATGAAGATGAAAACAGTCGATGTGGCATCCAGCTTCCGAGAGGCGACAGCTGGTGGGAACAATGTGTTGCTGCTAGTTCAGTTCCCCGACAGACCAGAGAGAATATTGACTTAGTTAGGATGGATGATGAGGCCACCTGAGCCATCTAAATGAAGGAAGAGATGACTGAACAGTCTCATTATTGCAATGGGCTTGGGAAAATATTCATGGCAGCCCTATAGGCTTATATTTCTCGAAGAGCTGTGAGTGTACTCCGTAGATTCATTAGATATTTCCCCATAGCACTTTCACCAAGATCTTTCTATGATAGAAATCCCGCCAATTGGAAGGCGCCAATCCAACCCATTCCCTTTTCAGCCTAGTGGCTGCGCAAGGGCTCAATTATTCAACTCCTGAAAACCCGAAATCATTAACATTTCTACCTCTTCTTTTCACCTTTCCATTTTGCTACTTTTCCACTTTGCTGGTTCTTGGGGAAGTGTTTCCTAGCGCAAATACGTTGTATTGAATAACCGGTTGCCCGTGTCGGTCGTGCCTTTTCCAGTATATTTATTAGTAGATAGCCGAATCGCAACGAAGTCGAGGTGCTCATAAGGCACGAGGACCCCCGTGAAATCCAAGTTCAAGAATTGAGCCTGGATCACTCCGGCGATGATGACAATGCGGATGCTGCCACGCAGCTTGCGGATATGTTGCACGAATTGAAGAATTGTCTTCCCGCTATTCACAACCGAATCGACTAGTATTATCGTGAACCGACTCTCCAGATAAGAGCCGTCGATGTCCGTGGGGGCATGAGCGTGCACCAAAGCGGCGAGGGGGAAGGCTTTGCTGACTCCTTGAGCCATAGGCTCACCACCGCGCATGAGAGGCACGATCAACGTCTGCTCCTCATGCAAGAGTCGAAAACGTTTCGCTGTCTGACCCTGGACGTGCCGCGTAGAGAATTCCTCAGAGCCGATTGTGTCAATCAGGTACTTGATGGCCAGATAGTTCCCAGTACGACGATGCGCTGCTCTTAGGGCTGGGCCGGCGACCGTAGCATCTCGCATTGGTGTCATGAGGAGCTTGGATGCTCCTGTATCTGTTTCATGCTGAAATCGATGTTGTGGTTGTTGTACATTGTCGCGGTGGAGAATGGCGCAGATGAAATCTTGCTCGGTCACCCGAACCGATGGGAGTAGCTATATACAACCTTGGTGAGGATAACTATGACAAGGAGGTGGCCTTTGACGTTCTGAAATGGATGCTCAGTCCTCCCGAGCGAGCCGAGGAGCTCGCCATGAGAGAAAAGAAGTAGCCAATTTTGTTACAAGCAGGCATGAAAATGAAATGTGGCGAGGTGATTTGCTAATTTTTTTCCCTGGAGTTTGCTGGTACAAGGCTGTGTCTACTCAGAGATGGTTCAAATATTTGGCGATTTGTTTATTTTCTCTTTGTCATCCAGGCTATTCTCACGAGCATTACTATAATGAGCTTGTATTCCGCTTCACAGACCGTATTAAGCATGTTATTCATGGTTTATTTGAGACATTCTCCACACGCAAGCTTGAGTTTTGAAAACCTGTCAACCCGAGTGAGCTCTCTACTGTGATTGATAGGTTGCAAAAGCTAGAGCAGTGGTTATATGATGGCGGGGAAGCTTACAAGGTAGAACTCCAGAAACATATACGGCAAAACAATGAAAATTTTACTAAGGACGGCAATACAGATAATGGCATCAGAGTGGTGACCTTGTATTGCTTCATTACTAGCAAGAACATACGCAGTAAACACGCTCCTTACCCTCGAGATCAGAGAAGCTTATCTTCTTGATCACGATCAATTTCAGTTTAGTTATATATCCTATACTCAGTTTACTATTTCACTGTCATGCAGCGCACCTCTAAACCTGCTTTGCTTATTCTCCCTAGCTGTATCACATGGGATATAACTGAGTTGGAAGTGTGCGCTCACTCGAGCTAACTAGAGGTTATCCACGGCTTCAATTCTGATATTCTGTCAATTGGCGGCGGGTAGGACTAAGAATGAGCCCTTCTTCTGATTTCCCAAGCCGTCAGCATCCTTCGTCCGCTCGACGAAATCCGTGCGGAACCAAGTTGGCTTCCTAGCCGCCCGTGGAATTACTATGAATGTATGTATGTACGTTTGATCTAACCAATTACAGGATGATGTATATCCTTCTTTTCAAATGCCCAGCGGGGTGACCTGATATTTCATCCATTCGGGCTTTCTGAAATATTTTGTCAGCTCTAGCAAAGGTTTTAAGAGTAACTAGTCAGTCAAAAAACAATAAATATATGCTTAGCAAACCCCCAACCATGGTATATCATGGTGATTTCATTACTAGAATAGATATTGCCAAAGTCCCGACGTCGAATAGATACATCGCAACACTTCCCCGGGTACTGAACAGGAACATGTTATCAACCACCGCCATTCACAGCAGCAAAAACATCCTCAATGACCCTGATAGTTAGTCCCGCAATAGTCCTGATGTCCTGCTCCGTTGAATTATATGCAGGCGCTAACAGCACATGGTCCCCGCGAACTCCATCCGCCGTTCCGTTTCCTCCATACAGCGAGAAGCTATATTTGGGCGTCATGGATGTCTGTTGGATTTTGGTGGCGATCCCAAGGCTTAAGTCAAAGGGTTCCTTTGTGGCTTTATCCTTGACGAATTCGATCTGAAATCGGGGGTAGTTTTGTTAGTTGGGTGAGAGGGGGACATATTTAATATTTCAAGGGGCGGGGAAAAAAAAGGGAGATTGTAGGAGAGGTTTTCGGATTCTGTGAATAGAGAGTGAACATATTTAATAGTTTTGGCAACAAACTTACACCCCAGAACAGACCCTTTCCCCGAATATCGCCAACATTGGGATGGTTACCAAGGCCCTCTTTCAGCAGTGATTCCAGTAGCGAACCCATATTCTTGATGTTCTCTAGCAAGTTCTGCTCCTTGATTATTTTCTGCACAGCCAATGCCGCGGCGCAGCTGATGGGATGCCCCTGATACGTCTGCCCGTGTCGGAAGGCACCAGTTCCCTTATCCATTACATCCACCACTCGCTCGTTGATAAGCAGGCCAGATACGGCGGCATATCCGCCGCCCAACCCCTTGCCTATTGTCTGGATATCGGGAACCACATCTTCCTGCTCCCAGGCGTGCAGTGTCCCCACACGCCCCATGCCAGACATCACCTCGTCGAGAATGAGCAGTGCGCCATACTTATCACATACTGCTTGCATTGCCTTGAAATACCCGGGAACTGCGGGAACGCAGCCCAGAGCCTGGTGGTGTAAAAGGCGGATGAGAATTTCGTTCTGTTTTTGAGTAATTTATTATTGAACGCAGTGGGACGGTCAACTTACTGCACCAACAACTGGTTCAGCAACGAACGCACACACGCTCTCCGGTCCAACCCTTTGGAACTCGTTATCCAACTCCTCCGCCAGCCGAGCGACGTACTCTGCATCGGATTCACCGCTCCGTTTCCCGCGGTACGCATAGCAGGGTGAAACATGGCTGATGTTCTGGAGTAATAATGGCTCGAACAACTCTCGTCGAGTAAGATGGCCACCCATCGATAGAGAACCAAGCGTAGTACCGTGGTACGACTGCTTGCGAGCAATGAACCTGGTACGTTGCGGCTGCGGTGTCTGGAACTCTAGATAATACTGCCTGGCCAACTTCATGGCGACTTCCATTGCCTCAGAACCTGCAGCGTTTGTTTAGCCATGTACTATAAAATATCCCATGCTTTCTACATTTCCTCTTCCTCTTCGCATTGAGATATTTCCAACATTAGTAGCAAAGATAAAAGAAAGAAGTGGAAGTTCAAGATATGATAAATGTTAAAAAGGCAAATGATACCGGAGTTAATAATAAACAGCTTCGACAGCTTTCCTCCCGTTGAATCTGCCAGGAAGTGTGCCAACTCCTCAAAGACATCTGTCGCAAAGAAGAACGTGTGGCAGTATGCGATCTGGTCCAACTGGGCGGTTATAGCGGCCTTGACCTGTTCATTCCCGTGCCCGAGACATGAGACTGCAGCGCCGCCAGTGGAGTCGAGGACTCTCTGTCCATCATTAAGAATGATGTAATTCCCTTCTCCGCCCACGGCAGTCTTGGGGATATCATGTATGTTGCGATGGAACACGGCGGTTTGGCTTTCGCGCCGTTCTTGGGACATTGTGGCCGTTCCTCTGATATTTCTTAAAATTAATTGGCGGTTATCAGATTGATATGTTAGATAGAAACCTTTACTTTCCCACTCAGAAGAGAGACGCTGCGGGGAGATAATTTGTGAACAATGAAGGTTTGGGGTTGACGGTTGATGTTATAAAACGGACCCGCAATTGGATTATTTAAATATATATCATGATGATGGCGTTCCGTCCACTTGGGTCATCCCCTCCCCAAAATAGCGATTGGGGAACGCTTCCACATGCAAGATCGGTTCCGAGGTCTATATGCGCCAGCAAGCCGACTAAAGCTACCAGGCGGCGGGGTTATTGGCCAGTTAATCATGATAGGCCAACATTGCCGTGCGGAACAAGGTGAAATCATGGAGGGTGCAGAGGACGAGTAGTCGGTATCCCGATATATACGGTGCATTATTGCTGCGAGAGATATGACCCCGCAACTGCGCACAGTCGTATATAGGCGGGAGCCCCACCGAGAGTCCCTTATGCTGCAGATTCGTCCAGTGGGTTGAATCAATGGGTGTTTTACCAAGGTGCTAACAAGGGCTACTCTGTAGGCTCGACGGGAAATTGTGCATATACGTGTAGATGCCGGGTTTTCGTCATGTTTCGTGCTTTGGAGAGCAGCCAAACCCCTAGTTAGTTATACAAATAATTTGCTCCATTGGCTCATGGCATGAGATGTCAACACACTGAACTCGCTTGAAATTGAACTCAAGACACAGCTGACATCCTATTCCATAGCATTGTAGAACAGTGAGAGAACACGTCGATGATGTCCATAGCAACCAACCGGAAGCTAAAAATGTGATCCCTGTCTTCACGTTTCAGCACTTAAGTTTACAATATATCAGCAAATCTAACACGACCCCACGCTTTTCAATCGCCTTGCGCCTCCGTCCTTCTAGAACGAAACCCGCCTTTTCCAGCACGCGACCGCTCGCTTCATTCCCTTCAAAGACATGCGCTTCAAGCCTCAGGATATGCTCAAACTTCTCAAAAAGCCAGTCAGAAAAGATTGAAACAGCCTCTGTGCCGATCCCCTGATTCCAATGGTCCTCACCAATCCAATAACCTATCTCCATCGTTCGATAGTAGATATCTTCTTTAAATGTTAGTCCGATGCAACCGATCAGCCGGTCATCAGTTGGCCGGCAAATACCAAAAACGGAGAGCGGCGACTCGGCTGCCGATGGAGATGTAATGAATGCCCTGGCGCTCTC